ATTTGAGAGGGGGATCGAGAGGGTGGTTGAGATGGAGTCAGAGAGATCTGAGATTGTCGCTGTAGAAGTTAGGGAGAAGGTATGAGGTTTGCCATGATGAGTGATGGTTATGGGAACTAGATCTTGGGAATTAGTAGACATGCTGTCGTTGGTATCCAATGATCGTTGCAGTTTCAGCACTAGGTATGATTGTATTGTTACGAGTGTTCAAGATTTAACAACACGATGTAAATCAACGAATGAGATGGTTGTACTTGTAGGAAAGAATGTAAAGTTTTAAATGCTAAATAATGTATATATCAAAGTGTTAAGTGGAAGTTTCTAGGCAAAAAGCCGCTTCGTAATCATTATCATTTTCATGTCATCTCAGCGTTGGTTGTTCTCGTTCTCGCCTCGGCTCGCCACAAAGAAACCCCAAGAACTCATGATTACATAATCCATCACCATTCCCACCAGCCAAGCCATTTCCCGATCCCGCCGCCCGAGTCACATACCAAATAATAACCTTACAACCTTACATTAGCATCCCTGGAAGTAAGTCGACATCTGTACCTTTTCAACAAGGCTAAATCCGAGTTCGCGTTTTAAACACTTAGCTAAGCTTCATCGTTGCGTGTCCTCAATCCTCATTCAACATCAACTTACTACATATCGACGGGTTCAATGCTAGAACAATTGAACGACTGATCTCAATTGATTTAAATTACATTTTCAAACAATTTTGAGTCTCTTTTCTTTGAATCTTTGAAACAAAGTGTTTGCGATTGCGCATGTGTAGGGAGACTCCCTTGGCTTGCACATCATGAATCTTTTTCGAATCTTGGGTAAGTGAAAGTTATTCCCTTGAGACTACAAAGTATACTTCGCATATCTTCAATTCATGTGCTAACATATTGCGCTTTTAGGGGATTTCTCCCATCTATTATCAATCCTCATTCTCCTTCACAAAATGCACCAAACAAACGTATGCCATCTCCCCTCCCCCCTCTTCCCCTCCATCCACTACAACCAACTAACAATCTCCCCCCAGTCCTGCGCCGGCATATCTTTCAAATCGCAAGCCCTCTACCTCCTCGTCTACATCACCCGGTATCTCGACCTCTTCTGGACCTTCACCGATTCCCTCTACAACACCACCTTCAAACTGCTCTTCCTCGGCTCTTCAGGCTACACCATCTACCTAATGACCACCTCCTTCAAACCCACCCACGACCCCAACCTCGACACATTCCGCGTGCAGTATCTGCTCGGAGCCTCGCTCGTCGCCGCCATCATCTACCCCTACGCCTACACGCCCGCGGAACTCCTCTGGGCATTCAGCATCTGGCTTGAATCCGTAGCGATTCTCCCCCAACTATTCCTATTGCAACGAACAGGCGAGGCCGAGACCATCACGGCGAATTATCTCTTTGCGTTGGGGAGTTACCGTGCACTCTATATACCGAATTGGATCTGGAGATATTTCAAAGAGAGTCATGTGGATGGGATTGCAGTGTTAGCGGGTGTGGTCCAGACGATTCTTTATTCGGATTTCTTCTGGATTTATTATACGAAGGTTATGAAGGGGAAGAGATTTACTTTACCCGTATAAATTTATTAGGAGGTTATGTCGAGGTTTTATTTTATTGAGGCAGGAAGACAAACTGGGTGGGACGAAATGTATGGATGGATGTGTGAAGAATCACGAGCGAAGGGAGAATGGAGACTAGGAAGAGCAAAGGGGATACCTGTACGACAAGTGACTATTTCTCCAGGACTCAACCAATAAAATGAGATGAGATGATGAGCATGGTTTGGCGTTGGATTGAGATGGACCCAAATCCTGTGGATCCTATGGCAGGACAGGACAGTCAATTAGGTTTGAATTTTTTTTTCCTCGGGGCGATTCTGTACAGTATTTGTAAAACGCATAGAATATGTGCTTCGAACTCCAGCACCATGATTACTCAACGTCAGTGCAGATGTTTTCGTTTCATGCTACAATTTGTCTGACACCTCACGTCTCGCAAGTCCAACAAGTACTGTGAAGACATCTTCTCTAAAATGCCAATTTTTCTTCATTTGACTGCCTAGTACCCATATATACACAAACACCGTCTTTGCACGCAAGAAAATCAGGACCCTCCCCACCATCCCCACCATCCCCTCAAATACAAAATCATCAAGGTCCATAAGCCACGCGTCCACGAGGATGCTCAGTCGAGTAACCTGGAGCCAGGAAATTAGTTTGGGGGTTACCCGTCTCCTTTGCTGCTGAGCACCTGGCCATTGTTGGGGAACTATGTTTTGAAGATGTTAGAATTTTTTCTGAGTTTGGAATAAAATGGAGTAGAGGGAAAGAAAGGGAAAGGGGAATATGGAAGCGGAAAGATAACGTGAAATGAATCGACATACCTTCTTGATATGACATCTGTAAAGTAAAAGTTATCGATAACCTTCTTCAAAGGCGCACCCATTGTTTTGCTGCCCTTGTTCTGGTCTACTAATTGTACCTTGCTCAATTGTCTCAAGGCAACCGGTTCAACGACATCATAGCTTGCTAACGAAGGACTGATTTCGGCCATACGATCACGGAGAGCGGCGACATCGTCATATGGTAATGGAGCTCCTAAGAACTCACTGACTGCTCGGATGATCTTCCAGTCAGTTCGTGCAGCACCTGGTAATGACGTGGCGGCACGGGTCATTTGTACACGTCCTTCAGTATTGACGTAAGTTCCTGCCTTCTCGGTATATGCGGCACCTGGAAGAACAACGTCGGCTATTTGAGCTCCACGATCACCATGGTGACCTTGATAGACAACAAAGGCGTCCTTGGGGATATCAGCAGCGTTAAATTCATCGGCGCCTAGTAACCAAACGAATTTAGGCTTTGTCTCGGCAACTGCTCGGGAAGGTGTTGTGAAGCCAATTTCAAAAGCACCAGCTCTTGAAGCAGCACGTTGAAGGATGTTGAATCCGTTCCACTCCTCGGTCAAGAAGTTTGAGGCATGTTTATCAACGAAGGTACCGACCGTCTCGTACATAGCATTAGCATCAGCGTGATCAGTAACACCCGAACCAACGATAATCATTGGTTTCTTGGCCGCTGCAAGCTTCTTACCGAAAGGTCCGGCAAGGGTCTTCTTCAAGGAGGCCGCATCAGTACCGAGGTGCTCGAATTCGAAAGTTGATTCCCATGGCTCGCCGACGACACCAATCTCAAGGTCAGAACGCAACCATTGTTTGCGAATACGAGCGTTAAGACCGGCAGCTTCATGTCGGGTATTGCTTCCAACAATCAAAATAGCATCAGCTTCCTCTACACCCCAAATCTTGGAGTTGAACAGATAATTCGAACGCACGTCAATACCGTGGGGCATTGGGGCATTTCCAGAAGGTTGATCAAGAGCCAAGTTGTCGGAACCAAGCTTGTTAGCTAGGTCCTTCATAGCAACCATTGATTCAGTCTCAATCAATTCTCCAGCAATAGCCTTGAATTCGTTGCCCTTTGGTGCGAAATCCTTGTATGCAGCACCAATCTCAACCAAAGCTTGCTCCCAACTGGCTGGGAGGAATTTGCCATCCTTCTTGATCAGTGGGGTTGTAAGTCTTTGTGTCTTTAATCCATCACAAGCAAATCGGGTCTTATCGTTGATCCATTCCTCGTTGACATCGTCGTTTAATCTAGGGAGAATTCGCATAACCTCGAGGCCTCTGGAGTCGACTCGAATATTTGATCCCAAACCATCCAATACATCAATAGACTCGGAGTGTTTCAGTTCCCATGGCCTCGCTCTGAAAGCGTATGGTTTTGATGTGAGAGCTCCAACCGGGCACAAATCTATAATATTTCCCGACATCTCGGTATCCAGATTCCTTTCAAGGTATGTTCCAATTTGCAAATCGTTTCCTCGTCCAGTAGATCCAAGTTCCGGTGCACCAGCAACGTCGTTTGCGAATCGAATACATCTTGTACATTGAATACATCTGTTCATCGAAGTCTTGATGAGGGGTCCAATATTTTTGTCCTCGGTGGCACGTTTGCCACCAATTTCGTGGAATCGACCACGGTCGCTTCCATATCTCATAGATTGATCTTGCAAATCACACTCTCCTCCTTGATCGCAAATAGGACAATCTAACGGGTGGTTGGCCAATAAAAATTCCATAACTCCTTCTCGGGCTTTGTGTGTGAGGGGCGAACTGGTCTTGACGACCATACCGGGCTGTACCGGCCATGCACATGATGCCACTGGTTTCGGTGCTCTCTCGACTTCAACTAGACACATACGACAATTTCCTGCTATCATAAGTTTTCTGTAGTGGAAGATTCGGATCAGTAGGGTTCGTTTGTGATATGCGCATCGTGTCGACTTACTCATGATAGCAATATCTACACAGTGTTAGTAGAACTCCCGAGCACACATATCATACATTGACTACTTGCCTTGGTATTACAGCTCCCGCCTTCTCACATGCTTGAATCAAAGCAGAACCAGCTGTGGCGTGTCAACAACCTTTCTATCCCAATTGTAAACTTTCCCAGCATACCTTCTATAGAAACTTGTTTGCCATCTAGAATAGAAATTAGCCAAACTTCCTACTAAAATATAATCCGCAGACTCAATGCGCCTTACCAACAGTAAGAGTAACCTCTGCCTGTCTTCTATTTGTAGTCGCGAATGTTCTTGCAGCACAGAAACTCTGTCTGCTGCTTCTTAGAGCCGATCTCGTCAATGTTGACCTCAACATGTTGTTATGTAGAATCTGGGTATGAAAAATAAATAAGAAAGAAACTCCGCAAAATACAAAAGTGGCGGAGGGGAAGCCCTTGAAATTGAATTATAATCTAGACGTACCGGTATCCCCAAATCAGTCGAAGCTCTCGTCGTTCCGATGTAACTTCTTAGCGTCCCATGGAATTTACTAATCCCGTTCCCCGTTATCATGATTGGTTCACTCATGCTGACTAATATTTCACACTATAAAGTTCTTCACTTTTTCGAGATTTTCTAATTTTCTTTTTTCTTTTTCTTCATTAAATTGTAATGGACACTTTTATTGTGGGTGTACTTGTGTGAAGCAATTCACAATCAATCAAGTATTCCTCTATCTTGTTTCCTAGAACAGCTTTTGGGCGCTGGAATGGATGCAAATGAAAGCTTTTCTTACAAGAAAGCTTGATGAATGCGCAACTTACCGCCGGCTGCTACATATTACTTAATTATAATTATATCTTTTGTGTTTTCATTGATGGATACGGATTGGCATCGTGTGTGTCAGTTCTCAGGTTGTCAGAGGGTACTCTCCTCACCTCACATTAGAATTGGCAATAAACACTATGCCTTTGGGTCAAGGTTTGTTTGACTTTCAATCATTACCTACTCTTGCTCATACCGTGTTTCTATCCTCAAATAGTTGTAAATATATGCTCAAGTTGCTCGCCCATACAATATTATCAATGTAGCCTCCAGATTCATGTTATTCTTGAAAACCCGCTCTTCTCATTGAGATTGAGAAATTGATTCCAAAGAGAAAAGAAGCAAAGAATCGAATATCTATGGGCCATATTCACGAAGCAGTGCTTGCTCCAAACGGTTTCTTCGGCGCGTTCATCCCAATAAATTGAACATAGAAAGAATTTTGGCTGAATATTGACCTCGTGGCCGCTCATCCCATCGCGAATGCTCTTCTCCCTCGATACATCCAAAGCTGACAACACGTTAGCTGTTACTATGCATTCTTGATATAGAATGCCGGTGAGGAGTGGCTCGAGTTTCTTCTTCTTGAATTGAATTTACTTACTTGGTTCACCAAGAGCACGCACTTCATCTTCCGAAACCACTTAAATAGCTACAGCGGTCTCAAAGTGCTTATTATGGTCCTCATGGTTCATCCTACCCTTCGCAAAATATGCAGCAAAAATCTTTCTTTCTTTCTTTCTTTCCAATCGTTGCTCTTCCATATCTTCCGATGCACTCAAGTATATCCGCTCTCATTCAGCTCCAAGTGAGAGACATGCATCTAGAAAATAGGCATAAGCATCATAAGATCCTCCGAAGACATGATATATCATTAGCGCGACAACAAATATCCAATATCCCCAACTTTGGATCTTTGGCAATAGCAAACTGGAAATCTCCCAGGTAGTCATGATCCTAGTCAGATCTCCAAGTCGAACATTTTTGAAAGCTTGCTGTGTAACCTTAACCCTATCAATGGAAAATTCCAAAAGGTGAAATGAGAACATGATACAGATTCTAATATCGCGCACCCATCTCAATACCGGTAGCGAACAGCTACCTAGTAGTTCTTACCCAAAAATGCCATAAGATAAAGTTCCCGGATACGTACACGGTACATATACCAGGCGCATCCTATCCTGTCCTGCTACTCAAGGCTCAAGCGTTCAAATCAAGAATACTCGAGTATATATATAACCTCACCACATACTCGAGTAGATTGATCAAGCTCCCTAGTCTAATGCGGCGTAATTTACTCTAACTGTAGAGTTCGATTCGAAAACGAGCTTTGCTAACAATAAATTTTTGGTGAACTCGGTAACCTATGTATATATATGTATTTGTTTGTTGACTTGAAGGAAGGAGGTTCATGAATATTCTGTAATTAATTAAAGTTTAGATTGGCGAATCGACCGACTTCTTTTAATACATACTTGATACAATGATACTAGAATCTCGAGTGCTGCACCCTGGGCCCCTGGCCATCGATTGAGATTAAGATTAAGAGTTTGAGACTTCTACGAGTGTATTATATATCGATCTATGTTTCCTTGTAGATCTTCTGAGTCCTGAGGGAGGGTGAAAGGATTGTGAGGGGAAGTAACTCGAAGGCTGATATGGATCGATCCTGTGTATTGCATTGTATTGTGTTGTATTGTATTGTATTGCATTGCATTGCATTGTATTGTATTGTATTGTATTGTATTGTATTGTATTGAAATGATAGTTTGATTAATAAATTGTTTTAGAAGAACAGAAAGTGAGGTTCACACAAAATATAAAGAGTATACCGAGATTGAAAGCGAAAGCAAGAAGTTCTTGACTAGACTGTGTGTAGGATACAAGCTGGGGTTGTCCAAGAATGGAGTTCCTGGTGAATAGTTAGTTGATTACTTATTACTCACTAGCATGGTGATTTACTATTTACTATTTACCTTTTGGGATTTGAGACTTGGATTTAGGACTGGGTACTGGGGACTGGGAGATCTCTTCGCTGATGTGGTTAGTATGAAACACAATAATATACTCAGGGTAATGCCAGATAGAAAAGAGAAAAGAGAAAATAAAGATTCTCTTTGCTGATCCATTACTCAGTAGAATCCAGAGTGAGTATCTTGAGTATCTTGATTATCTGCTGATATTTGTAGATGAATATATAGACATTGTACTCGTATAACAATACAAGTCAACTTTATTGTTCTTTGGGATCAGTTGTCAGTTGATAATCTCTGTTAATAGTCTCCTCTCAGCTGATGCTGATATTGATATTCTCTGCTGATCTCAAAAGTATACAAGTAAACAACAGTGACAACACTGAGACCAAGACTAAGACTAAGACTAACACCCAAACTAACACCCAGAAACGTCTCAAAACACCTAATCCATACAATAAATAAGATGAGATGAGTACCAGTAATTATCAGACTTTACATAAGAGACTCAGGTTCGTTATGATTTATGAAAAATATGACATATGCTTACTAGTAACTAGTAGTAGGCTACTTCTCTCTCAAGTTTCAACTTCTATTATATCCCATTCCATTCCATCCCATCAAACTTCAACTTCAATCTCAAGAGAATCAGGATTTCGCAAGAACCTCGGGCTAAAAAGATATCTCGATTCTCGATTCTCGATTCTCAAGGAACTACTCGAGTACGAGTAATTAGTTCGAGTAATTTGTATTATATTGCACATTACATCACATCATATTATATCAAAGTAGCTTGAAACTTGAAATTTGAAGCTTGAAGTTGATTGAACTATTATACTAATTGGACTATATCATGCTATACTATACTATACTATGCTATACTATAATCTATATCTATTAATTATTAACTATTAACTATTCACTATTCACTATATTATTTACTATTAGTTATATTACTATATATACATTGTATATAGATTTAATCTAAACTAGCGAGGTGATAATTCAAATTATCCAATGAAATTAAATCAGATGTTTTTATTGAAATTGAGTCTTCAAGTTGGATATTAGAAATTGGATTTCAGCTAGGTAGATAGATAGTAGATAGATTAAGTGGGAGTTTTCTCTTCATTACTTGGCTGAGTTGAGCTGAGTTGAGCTGAGCTAAGCTATCTATTGAATTCTATATATAATATAATATAAGTTTCTAAAACAAATGAGTTGAATTGAACTACTTGTAATTATGATATCAAAATCCTACTATATTGATTTTTAATTTTTATTTAATTTTTGAACTTTAATATTTAATATCTAATTTTCAATTGAAGACTAGATACCTACTTAACTGTGCAAGAGAATAAAATAGTCAAATTGATATCTATGCACATTCCATATCGCCCTAGAGTTTTTCCCACCAAGATTTTCCTACGAAAGAAGCAGATATAGAGACGCCATACCATCAAGCCATTTATTTATACCCATGCGTTCACGCAAAGGACAAACTCCTCGCCAGCCCCCATCCCATCCCAGCCCAGCCCCAACCCCAACCCAAAAACTAAATACCCCTCCTAGCCAGTTTCTCAATACTATCCGCCCCTCTCCCATTTTCCCCATTTTCCGTCACAATCGGCATGCCATTAGATAATCTACGAATATCCGTCTGTCCACTTGGAAGATTCTTCGCTGTGCCCTTGATCGAAAAACTAAAGCCGGGTTTCTCAATATTGCCATTCTTAGGCGGTGAAATTTTGTTGGCAGGTTCGACTTCCGTCCGAGAGTATTCGCTGTCATTCGGAGGTTTGCGAGCTGCCTTGATATCGTTCTGAAATTGATCTATAAAAAAGCGTCCCGTCGTTTGTCCTGACCTCAAATTATGTCCATTGTAAAATCCATACCCCATGAAACTCAAGATTTTGATATTATCACCAATCTCAATCCGCAGAGCAGTAAGGTCTGACGTCTGAAGGCTGCTTGTGGCTGTAAAGATCTTGCCAACATTGTCGAGAGGATCGATATCTCTTCGAAAGGACTCGATATTGAATTGCCCCGCCCTTTCCGTTTTGACGTTATAACCCCCATACATATTCTCGGAGTTGGGGCCGATGATTTTAATCTCATCCCCAGCTCTTATCTCTAACTCATCGGTCGTACCACGCTGCCTTTGTGGATTGGGAGTGTGTGATGATATGAAGGTTTTGCCAATAAAGTTTGGAGATGATACGAAAAAGGGGTGCTCGATATCTTCTCGAAAACACCCCATGCTAAATTGTCCAGTCTTTCTTGATCTTTCATTCAATCCGGTATACGTAATTCCGTTGATGTACTTGTTAATTGTAATCTTATCGCCAATTTTGATACTCAGATTTGATGCATCTTTATCATGCTTTGGACCCCAGGTGTCAATTGCTGTAAGGGTTTTGCCAACAGGTGAATTATGGTCGTCATTGGAGTCATTTTTGGGGCCAGACAACATGGAATTTCTGTTAATGTCGTCGGCAACTTCGATGTCCTTCCAATAGAAATTCAAGTTAAATATCCCCGTCTTGTGTGATGTCATATTAAGTCCCGTATACGCAAATTTGGAGTGGTACTTCTTAATTTTGATTTTGTCGCCAGATCTAATTTCTAAATTGCAATAGTCGGACCCGAGCTTCGGAGCGTAGTCGCTTGATGATGTGAAGATCTTGCCAACTTGGTCGATGGGCATCATAGAGTCGAGATCCCCCAAAAAGTATTTGATGTTAAATTTTCCCCTCTGTTGTGTTTCTTTATTGAGCCCCTCATAGGTATCGCCGAATATGTGGTCTATGATTTGGATCATATCATGAGTTCTTATATCTAAATTGTGAAATCCAGAGCCATACCAATTGCTTGATGATACGAAGGTTTTGCCAATTTTTCCATTTTGATAGTCTCTGGAACCTGTGCGAGCGCTTGGCGTAGAAGGGCTCTGTGGCACGCTCGAGGAGTTGGAAGGTTGTTTGAAAGTATCGGAACTTGCTAGACCTGTCGGAATATTTGTAGGAAATTGGAACTGTTGTGGATAACTCGGAGCGTTCATGGACGACGGGCTTGGGCTTGCGGAGTTCCAAAAATGGTCATCAAGACGAACCTTCCTTAAAGCGCTGCCGGTCATCTCCATCGGGCTCTGTATCAATGAGGGTGCATCTGAAATCGCGTTCTGATGACTTGGTGGAATTTGGATTGAGACTGATTTCTTTAGAGCAGTGCCGCCTTTCTCTGTTGGAATATGTATCGTAGCAGATTTCTTCAGGATACCGCTTAGAGTATCCGAGGGACTCTGCATTGAAACAGATTTCCTCTTCAATATTCCTTCAATAGGCTTAGACGGGCTTGGTACACTTTGAACTTTCTGCCCCGCGCTTTTCAATGTTCCACCTCCCGACGTATCCTTTCCAAGGCGATCGATAATAGCCGCCCCCAAATCTTGCTTATATCTCGCCATGACCATTTCCGTATGTTGATTGTACTCCTTCAATTTCTTGATCCCTGTTTCTAGCAATTTTTGTAGGTCTAAATTGAATTTGTGCTGGATTTCAAAGGGAGTTCTCGTATTAGCCGGAATAAAAAGTTGAGTCGGTGACACATTCGACAAATCTAAACCACCCATCACAATATCACCTTCATTATCTCTTTCACCCTCGCTTTCACCCACACCCACAGGCTGCGGCGAGGTGCTCCTCTGCTCGTGGTTATAAAAGTCCTTCATTTTCCACTCATACTCTTCACCCGTGTGACCCTCTGTTTCCTTCTTCAATCTACTCTCCCTTCTATCCAGTTCCTCTTTCGGAAGCTCCCAAACCCCCTTTTTTACATCTTCCGACTGCAAAAGTAGCAACCATCTCGGACCTCTCAACCACCCGAGAGCTTCCAACTCCTTTTCATCATTTTTCTCCCTCGCATCTTCCTTGACAGAAACCGAGAGTTCTCTGTCAGTTGACCTAAAAGTTTTTAAACCATTGTCATTCCTACCACTTTCTATACCACTTTTGTGCTTTGCGATATCATCTTTGAACTTAGAAAGCAATTGTTCTTTCTCAAGAATGAAAGCCGTGACGATATTTCCGCGAACTTTGTGGTGATGGGCCTTGAGGAGTTTGATTTTGGCATCGCGATCGGTGGGAAGGGGGGCAGTCGGGGGTCCTGGGTATGGTATGAAGATCGAGGCGTTTAGGGAGGTATTGAGAGATATCTGATTACTTTTTAGTCATTATTCTTGATAGAAATAGATGTAATTAATATGAAGGTGGGAGATGGAGATGGAAGATGGAGATGGGAGGATTGAGAATGTAATCAATCAATAGACATCACGTGTGGACGTGAAGATGAAATTTACCTCGTTTTCACGCGCCGTTTGCCCCATCGTAATACCAGGTCTGAGTGCCCTTTTTTTTTTAATATCGAGCTATAACACCAATATTCTTCACCATTCGCCTAGATAGATGTCTTAGATGGGTAGCAAATAAATATAAATAGGTATCACAGAATGTTGTGTTCGGATTTTAGATTTCTTGTGGTATTCCAATTTGTTTTGGTTGTGAGAGGATAGAAGGGGTTGAAAAGGTTTCGGGAAACCGCGCTTTTGCTTTGTTGAACATGGGGTAGGGGAATTTCCTTGTATCAATCCCTGTTGCTCTTGATAACAACAGTATATTTAAATCAAATATATAGGTAAAATTCACTCCTTATATTTTATGGACGATGGGCTTCAACTCGTCTTGTGTTTCACATGACACACACCAGAATGCCGGCTCCATTTCATCCCATTCCCTCCCACTTCATCCCATCCCATCCCCCCTCCCATTTTGTTACTGTTACTGTTACTGTAATAGTATGTATATCTAGGGCCCGAATGTTACCGGTATTTTTCTCTAAAACCATCCCGAAGAACACTGGAGACGTCCTACTTGTCACACATAGAAGCCGATCGAGACTGTATGATTGATGATCTCTGTCCGTGGTACAGAACATATCTAATCACAATACTTTATTCAGGACAATTTGCTCTTATTGCTGGCTAGTCTTTCGTTTCGTCTTTGCACGGAGAGGTTGAGTCGGGATCTCGAATACCAGGCCAGTCACACCGACTTACCGACAGACAGGACAGCACGTTATTCTATTTCATTTCATTTCATCTCACTCTACTATAATCGTATTTAACATCACCCAAACTCCACAGGATCTTCACTCCCCTCCACAAGATCTTCACTTCACTCCACATGAAGATCCCCAGTATCCGTACCGGTATCCGGGTTCAAGGGATTATGGGATTATGGGATTATGGGTCCTTGTTCATTCCACCTCTACCTCCATTTACCTATTCGTATCTTTATATCATCATATCATCCTCCTCCCCTCTCTCTCAAATTCCTTCATATTACCCCCTCTGTATTCCTCAGTATTCCTTATACAACCATCATGCCATACATCACCATCCCCATCTCCATCCTCCTTCACCATCCACCTCCACCTTCACCTCCATCCCTACTCCCACTAACATTAGTCTCGATTCTCGATTCTCGATTCTCAAGTCTCGACCCCATCCACTTCCACCCCAAACTACTAGACTATTATAATAGTGTAGTGTACTCGAGTAGTGCTCACAGAATACCTAGAACAGAATAGATTACTATTGGTAGTAGATCATCTACGCTCGGACAGACGAGCAAGTGATGTCATACCATATCATATCATATCAAACCATATCAAATGATATAATGTCATATCATCATATATTTCCTCGTAATATTGGGGGCAAGGAAAGGAGGAGCCTAGGTGGAGGAGGAGGTGGTGGTGTACATATACTCGGGCACATACATATATATATATTCTACGAGTATTAAACAGAATCTCAAAACGAATAAAATATTGTATAAATTTCACGCCTACTATACCTGCCCAGTACCTTCAATATCTATCATCATATCAAATCATATCATATCATAACCACGTTCAAAATGCCATCTGGAGGATGTTTCTGTGATACCGTATGTATATTGACTTTTCCTCACCTCACCTCACCTCCTCTCCTCTCATATCCTCTCCTCTCATATACTCTCCTCTCATATATGATACTCGAATATATGATAAAATTACATTACATTACATTACAAAATACAACACCATAAGCCTCCCTCCATCTATCCATCTATCCAACTATATTACACCCCCACCCAACATCTACATCTACATACAACCCACAATACATACTAACAGCACTGTACCCCCAGGTCCGCATAAGCTACACTGGCAAACCAGGAGCTAATCTCCTATGCCACTGTATCGACTGTCGAAAGATTACCGGCGCTACATATAGCAACAATATCGTCCTGCCCAAGGAGCAATTCAAAGTTGAATCCGGTTCGTATATTTTCCTGCTCCCTTTCCTTCCCTAATCTCTCCTCATGCCCTCTACCCCTTTTCCTCTTCCTAACCAACAAATAAATATCCCATTTCCCCAACCCAATCCTAACACCAACACTAACACCACCACCACCATCCCAGGCAAACCCAAAACCTTCACCAAAAAAGCCGACAGCGGCAAGGAAATCACCTCGCACTTCTGCGGCGATTGCGGCACCACTCTCTATCGACTAGCCGATGCGATGCCCGGACAGGTGATTTTGAAAGCAGGAACTTTGGATGATGCGGAGTGGCCGAATAAAAATGTTCCTGGTGGCGAGATGTTTATTGGGGAGCGGGTGAAGTGGTTTTCTGGTATTGATGGCGCGGGGCAGTTTGAGGGTATGGCTTCTTAGGGTTCTGTTCTTAGTCGAGACTGGTGATAGATTTGATAAATAGACTGCGTCTAATATATGTATATCTTTCGTGATGTTGTCCTATATATGAATGGTTCTTCGTCCAATACGAGTTAAGGTTGTCCATGTGTTTTGTTAACTCTTTCTCGCGATGTCGACTAATGTATGTATATCTTCCGTGTTGTTATCCTATATATGAATGATTCGTCGTCCAATATGAGTGTAGAACGTCCAGTTGTATTAGTGACTATTTCTCGCAACGATTCGTATTTCTTTCGATGATCGTAGTATTGTCACCGAGAAGGTAAGACTTTCCTCACATACTCTCTTCCGATCCTAAATGCCTGTCTTGCTAAATCCTCCACTCTCCTATCTTTCTTTCGTCTCATCCATAATAAGACGAGGCCCAGTAGTGCCAGATCTACTAGTAGATGTTTTATAGCAATCCATATAAACCAAGCTAGCCATTTTCTTGGAGACCTTGACTTCTTGCCCTGATATTCTCTTCCCGTAGCAATCTGCTCTCTCAATGCTGCCATCTCGGCTGTCATTTTAACCAGCGCCTGTTCCACATTTTTCCTCCATTTCGTCTTATTATTTTTGCCATCAGTATATTCGTCTTCATCTCCGCCATTATATCCCATCCTTTTCTCAGACTCCCTCTCGGCCTCATCATCCTGGCTCATTGGACTCAATACCCTCATTGCGCCCTGGGTTCCCGACACCGGTTGTTGGAACCGTCTCGGTTGGGTTGTGTATGATGGCACCTCGTGGCCTGGTGAAGAAACTGTAGACGATGGACTATTGTTTTTGATTTGGTCCCAGACAAATTCCAATTCGGCAACCAATTCTCTCGCATCTCTGCAGTGCCACATTTGAGGTCAGCTTAGTTCTCATCCCCGCAGACCGCGCTCCAGAACCGAGAGATCCATAACTTACGCAGTAGTACTAGCATACTTATGCATAGTATCAATCAACGCTTCAATATACCTCCTCTTTGCCTCCGTTCTGCTAACCCCCCGCTGCGCATCCCACGCATCCCATTTGTCCCTCTCCCTTCTTAACTCTTCTCCCTGCAATCCCACTTCACCACCGTCCTCCCCACCCCCCGTACTCGGCCGCATCATAACCCCATCTACATCACCCTCCATAGCCTGCTTGTATAATCCATAGAGGCGTAGTCGGTCTGCGGGCGGCGGGCGCGATGCCCCGGTTTTGGGTATCTTCTTTACTGTGTTGAGTGCGTGGACGAATACTCGGTCTGGCATTTTGGATAGGGTCAGTATGGTACAATTGAGATTTGCTAAAGTTTTGTTGGACAGAACATGGTACTCGAGTAGAGTAGGATATGTGCAATATGCATCGTGAATCAACAGCGCACTTACCCACAGAATCCGCCATCTTATCTCAAGTGCTTTCCTTCCTCTCTCATCTATCCAATGTGGATTGTCCAACTTGAGATTCTTTTCTATGACCGCTATTCTCGTTCGGAAATTTAATCTTCACGGTTTTTAAAGCAAGAATTTCAAGAATTAAAGATATGTTATTAAAAATATTATAGTGAGAAATCTGTAATGAAGAGAAATGCTAATGGTAAATGATTATCATGCGCATATTTCGCGTTTGTACCTGTAATGAGGTTAAACCGAGGTTCGAAAAATGAAGGGGATGCAGGGGGGGATGGATTGGCGGGTACACCGGAAAGACGCGCTAAGAACCCCGAGATGCAATGAACCCCTGACTGGGAACTTTTATATATGTTGTGAGAGATTTCTTTGGACTAGAAAGATTGGGGAGTGCAGTGCTGTTCCTGAAAGACGGAAAGATGAGACATGAAATAGTATCCATTGACAAGTATTTGTGAGGCTTCATGCAGGTTTTTACGTTGATGATCCACACCGATGTTTAAAGGCATTTGTAAGAACCAGTAGGATGGTAACACGGTTTAGTTGGGTAGTTACATATGGATCTTTGGAAATATGTATGATGTATTTGAACACCCCATGAACTCTTTTCACACAGGTCGCTTGCTTGTGCTAAAGTAAATACATCGATTATTTCGTGTTCTGTGTGGAGACCTATTTCTTGGGTATATTTTCCAAGCCAACGAGTAACTCCCGAGCAAATGTCACGGCCAAAATACCATATCCAATGTTACATCCCAATTGATCCTCCAACTATGGGAGCCCTTAAATGTCCACGCGTTAGCCATGTGCCATTCTCTCCATCCCTAGTCGTGCTTTATTGATGGCTTTCTTCTTGTTTCTCCAGTGCTATCCTTTCCCTTTCCTGTTGTGCATCATATATTTTCTTTTTCTCCATATACATAGACATCATCTTTTTGTTCTTCAATGCCATATCCGCTGCTTTCCAGCCAGCCTCTTTCTTGCCATTTGCACTTCCGAACCCAATTTGCTTGTCGTCTTCACCCCATCCGGTAAGGAAAACCCCGATTGAAAAGACTGGAAGTTTGGTATTCTTGTCCTTCCGTGGTGCTCCGATATCTTTGTACAACAATTTGCTGATTTTAGAGCCTAGCACTTTCTGCAATTTCTCTTTGGGATTGAATTCGACTTCAGTAATATGATGTGCTTCAACACAATCAACTGCTCCTCTTAGCCTCCACAACGGACTATCCATTTTCTTCTCATTGCGCTCTTCTTCTTTGATCTCTTTCGACAATGTCATAGCCCACAGACTCTTCAACCATTCCGATGCACGTGCTACCCCGTTTACCGGATCTGAGAGTATTACAGCCGCGACATATGACTCAAAGATATCTCCCATAATTTTGATATTGTCCTGGTCTTTTGAGGTATATCTAGCTCCAGCTAAAAGTGATTCTGGTAGTCTGGCGCGCTTTTCGAACCCATATTTTCGTGCATAATCCGCTAAAGTAACGTTTTTGATAAGTCTTTCGCGAAGCTGAGAGCACTTTCCAGGTAGTAAAGCAGGAAAGGTCTGTGAGATGAGAAGTGTGGAAGCAGTGTAGAGATAAGCATCTCCTACCCATTCCAGGCGCTCGTAGCTCAAATCATAAACCTTACCAGAACCATAGCCATGGTGAGTGAATGCTGCCACCTCAAGGGTAGGATCAGACACTGTAGGGAGGGATGGAAGTTCAGACGGAATCGAAGATGAAGTCCATGGCGTGAGCTGCAAAGTCGATATTGTTTTGCCTACGTTTCGAATGTCAGATTCCTGAGATGAACTTTCAATCGTAGGGTTATGATCGTTTAGCTTTGGCTGGTCTTGGTTTCGTAATATATTCCGAAGCTCAATGGCTCCTGAGAATGCCGTCTTGCCTATCACAGCTTCAACTTCGCCCACTCCACTCTCATGAAGAAGCTCTTCTAATGCAATCAATAATTTGGAGATTTTCTCATGTGATGAAGAGTTCAGCTGCAAGATCTGTTAGTCTTGTGTATGTAAACGCGCAAATGACTTACATTTCTTTTCTTGTGCTCCTTTTCGGATTCATTTTCGAAGGGAAATGGACGTTTGGACGACATTTCTGACGGCTATAGTTGCACTTTGCTGAATTGACAATTTCACTGATCAATTCTCAAATTGTTTTCGGATTATGAATGTCCATCCAGCATAATATACATTTGTACACAGGCACGTGATGTACCGATACCCGGATTAAAGACGGCCCTAAATGCCGCCAGAATTCATGGACGACCCGATGTGAGAAACAGATTGAAGCCCATATTGCCAAACATGTCGGTCGCGAAGTCGAGACTGCTGGATTTGTTGAAGGTAGTAACTTGGCATACCCCCAAGCGCAAAGATATGGGCTAACCGCATTTCTACAGGTCCAATGCCGGATCTTCTCAACCACATTCAACCCCGACGGACTTCGAACAGGAAACAAGGTTCTTCGATCAAGATTGAAGGGACCAGCGCTGGCTGCGTACTACCCACGGAAGATGGCGACAATCAAGGATCTGCAGAAGACATATGATGAATACGATGTCGAGACCTACGATGATTACGAGGAAGATAGATTTGAACATCTTACTATGTATGAATATTCAATACATGTATGAGGAACATGTGCTGACAGTAACATAGTCTGAAAGCTAGAGGAAAGGGAGCACCGAAAAAGAAGAGAACTGCGGAAGGTATGTGGTTGTGGTATGATGCAATCGTGCGGGCATTTACTGATAGATTGGTCCAGAATCCAAGAAGTTCAAGGGAAAGAAGAAGTAGACTGGGGATGGCTCTATATCGAAAAGATACTATGTGCAGTATTCTGTACAACGGTAGCATTATTGGCCGTTTAGGATCAGCTTTGGGGGGGAATATTATGGAAGGCTGTCTGAACTATTGCCGGAATCTGGAACGCAAAGTGCAGAACCTCAGTCAAATGAGAAAGTTTATTACAAAGCTGCACATATTGCTTCCATGCTGAAAGTATTAGAAGTTCGTCTCAAGAGCCCAATGCTGCTAGTAGTACAGCTTTGGAGGGAAGTGACTTCATTCGTGGTAATGGACTGTTAGAGGCATGCCTATTTCGATTCAAGACATTTCTCTACATCTTATGGTCGAAGGCTTTGGAGCTACAAAGAGTTCCTTGGTATTGTAGCACGGAAGTATACAGTAAAGGATCCTGCCTGTCGAGTGTTCAATCTCTTCACTACTTGGCATGATAGATGTATAAGTTGCTGTTTCCTTGATCACCTAGATGTCAAGAGAAGGTGGACTCCTGAGAAGAAACCCCGAATCCGGTATTTCGGTCCGAAAGCTGATTTACACTTAAGGAATTGAAACCTTGGAAGTAATTGAGATCCTTACAGATAAGTTATCATTTTCGAGAATTCAGGTGGCAATAACGAGTAGGAGAAGAGGTAAGAGCGATGCTGTTGAAACCTCGCACTCACCGACCTTTTCTAATTTGTCTTCTCTTGCAGTAATTGATTTTATCTTTCCCCCTTTTCATTTCGCAATTCTTTCATCCTGTTCATTCTTATGACTCTAGTCAGATATCTGCCTGATTGAAAATACTATTCATATAACCACTCAAAGATTTTACCCAGGTATTAGGTATTGAGATATGCGAGACAAGACAGCGTAAAATTGACCTGGAGTGAATATAAGTGAATATAAAGCTTACCGCGACCATACCAAAAATCACCTTCAACCTTTTTTTCATCATCAATGACCTGAAGTTCATTCTTTCTTCAAGCCAAAATTTACAAAATTCAGACTTTCATTTTTCTTTTTTGCCTGCCATTTGAAAAGAGGATAGAGCAACTGGAAAGGATAGACGTTACTTCTCTATCTAAATCTCTTAGAGCTACGACTCTTATATGTTTTCTTGATCTTCAATAACTTCTTTTCTGTTCATCTACTTTCAACTCATCTACGAGTGAGCCATTCAACAACCATTTCCGATCTATCCAGCACAATCTGCTTCAGACGATTCCCTTCCTTCGACCAGTCTTTCATTAAGATAACCCACCAAGCAATATGGCTTCCTCAGTTGCTTCCAATGGATCACCAACTCTTCGTCGTACAATGGATCGCTGCCATGAGAATTCTGGACTTGTTGTCGACGATGTCGTTGATAAGATGAGTGCAAGAATGGTGAGTTTGTCCTTGCTCCAATGATTTATTACTGCAATTCTATTCATACTTATTGTCACTCTTTGCCTTTTCAACCCACCGTCCAACGAATTTCTCTACTTATCACACGCTGCCATTTCTTTTGGAGTGAGCATACTGGCAGAACTTTTGCAGCTTATCTTACAATCAAACACCATCTATGCAATCTCATTTCAAACTTATTTGTATATCTTACTGACCAATATTCATCCAGGACACTGCTAATACTCTCAAAAAGGCCGCCACAGCTCTTTCTACCAACAAATTGGGAAATCAAGCTGCTCCTAAGGTAATGACCTCATTCCATCATTGCTTAAGCACCCACTAATGGATACAGAAGATGAAGTTAAGCCATGACACTTACATCGCCCCAGCTACTGCGGCTACCTCGTGTCCATCATCTTCTTTCGATAACATGCCCAATCCCGTCGATAAACTATTGGCCAAGCTTTCCGAGCAACAAGCAGTTCTTAATCGACAACACGAGGCTTTGAGAAATTCAGATGATTATGGCTCTGGCATTTCGCGTACCATCGACTACAATTCTGCTCCTACTTCAGTCCCAATTACACCTGCCACCGAGACTTTTGACTCGGGCACGGCTACAACTGCTCCCACTACTCGTCCTCACAGTCGTGGTGACGGTGACAATCAACCTAGTGCTGAAGAGGTTCTTCGTCTTAAGATTGAGCTAGAGGCTGCAAAGGGCAGAATTGCACGCATGGATCAAGAACTTGCACAAAACCGCATTACAAAGCACACAATTGATCAAGCTATTGGCAGCGTTTCCGAAGCTGACTTCCCTCTCGGAAATGTTTTAGACAACGCCGCCGGCATCCCTCCAAATCACTTCCGTCCTCAGGTGGCTCGTGAAAGCTCTTGGGCTACTCAGGAAGATGCACACTCAGATCACAGCGATGCTCTTTCCGCCAGTGGCTACAATCGTACTCGGGCTATTTGGGGCAATAACAAACCAAATTTCCCAAATGCCCCACCAATGCCTTCCTTTCAGCCTTCCGATCCACATACTACTGGACAGTGGATGGGCCGTGGTGGTTGCAGCCAGCCTTTTGTTGAGTCGAACACGTCCTTTGGCGGGCCGCCTCCAAACTCATTTCGCGGCGAAAGATATGAGCACGACATGAACATGCCAGGTGGTGGAGTCCGTCGTAACAACGGCAGTCGATTTAACAATCGTAATCTGGGTTCTATTCCTTACTCAAGCAGCTCAAGCTCCTTCGATGGTTTCACACCTTCCTCAAGCTCTTATGGATCTATGGGTGGAGTTCCTACTCCACTCGGTAGTCAGATGAACATGGGTATGAATGTGGGAAGTGGAATGTACTCAGGTTATCAACCTCAGCCAATTGGCACACCTCTTTCACCACATGCACCGGAGTTCACTTCGTCCAGCGGAACATGGAAGGCTGAAGTAAGTATCAAAGAGTCCATTATTCGATTGAGCAACATCCACTAACCTTTGTCCAGTCGGTTGCTAATGAAGGTCATCAAACCTATCTGCCAACCACTGAGCCGTTGAACTACCGTCGTCTTCTGGACCGAACCGTCAATTGCAATTGGAAGTACATTGTTGACAAAATTGTCTGCAACAACGATCAGCAGGCTTCAATCTTCTTGCAACAAAAGCTCAAGGTTGGTACAACCGAGCAGAAGTACGATATTGTTGAGGCTATTGTTGCCCAGGCCTATCCTCTGATGGTCAACCGATTTGGTAATTTTTTGGTGCAACGATGCTTTGAGCATGGCACTCCGGAGCAAGTTATCAAGATTGCGGAGGCTATCCGTGGTAATACCCTCAATCTCTCCATGGATGCTTTCGGTTGTCATGTCGTCCAGAAGGCTTTTGATTCAGTACCAGAGGACTACAAGGCTATTATGGTTCACGAGCTCCTCCGTCGGATCCCTGAGACCGTCATTCATCGATATGCTTGTCATGTTTGGCAGAAGTTGTTTGAGCTTCGCTGGACCGAGTCTCCTCCTCAGATCATGAAGTACGTCAATGAAGCCCTTCGTGGTATGTGGCACGAGGTTGCTCTTGGTGAGACTGGTAGTTTGGTTGTTCAGAACATCTTCGAGAACTGTCTTGAGGAAGACAAGGTATGTTGATATGTTCATTTTATATCGGGCTAGTCTAACTTTCTTATAGCGCCCTTGCATCGAGGAAGTTCTTGCTAGCATTGACATCGTCGCTCATGGACAATTTGGCAATTGGTGCATTCAACATATCTGTGAGCATGGAGCACCAGCTGATCGTAGCCGAGCTATTGACCATGTTATTCGCTATGCTTCGGAATATAGTATGGATCAGTTCGCTTCTAAGGTTGTTGAAAAGTGTCTCAAGATTGGCGGAGTTGACTTTCTCGGTCGTTACCTTGATCGTGTCTGTGAAGGTCGCCTTGATCGTCCTCGCATTCCCTTGATTGATATCGCCAGCGATCAATATGGCAATTATTTGATCCAGTATATCTTGCAACACTCAAACCCACAACATCGGGAAATTGTCGCTTCTCACATCCGCAAGCACATGGTTTCCCTTCGTGGTTCCAAATTCGGCTCTCGAGTCGGCATGCTCTGCACCAACCCTGCCCTTCAGACTCGTCCAGGTCCCGGTGCTGGTCCCACGATTAGCAGCGCTCCACCTCCACGTATGCCACCATCCAATGTTCGATACGGTGGTGCCTACCGTTAATCTTCTTTCCACTGACAATTTGCTTCTTCTGCTTCGTCATATTGCCTTTTGTTTTCTGGGTCTCATTACGATCGATCTTTACAAAGACATGATTTTATGCAACCAAGATAACAATACAACATATCCTCCGGGTTTTTGTTTTCCGGCTTTCAGTCTCTTCTATCTATGGACTTCTTCCCATTGGTTCTTCAACGTCCTGGAGACACAAGTTTAAGCTTGTATCGTGTACCCTTTTTACCTTATTTGGGTCTCCTCTTCATTGAATTACGATATGTCCATTCTGTTTAATCAACATTATCTTCGAAAAGTTATTCTACCATAACAAGTCATCCTAAGCTGAAGATTATTTTCAGTGCTTTGGACAGATCATAGTTACTACTTTTGCATTACGTTATGCGAGGGGTGATATATCTTCGAGGCTTTTGTCGCCAAAATCTGATCTTGTAATCGACTTTTGCATCATCCATTGTGTGGAGGGCTTTACTCCGCCTTAGTGTTTGTTTTCAGATCAGATGTACTTTCTTTCCCTTTTCCTTTCTCAAATCGAATTCTGCCGGCGTGGCAGAAATTAATGTGGTGGAGAGGTTTGATCATACTCATATACTTCATTGTGCTCTTTCTGCTTGTACTCAACAACTAAAGAAACGTCTAGAGCTTTGTTATATAGTCACTCGTTAGTCAATATAAAAGCCTTTGGTCAATACATTTTTGTAAAGTAATGATTTGATGAATACTGGGTGCCAAGAAATATATAGCTTGGTGTCGTGTAGAACATGAATTTGTGAAACTAGAAAGATACAGCGAAACCTGATCTTAATTAACTACAAAGTAAACGTCGCCAATCATTTCATTCCAGGTTGTAAGATTACATCTCCTGCATTCATCAACACCTCAACCAGACCATATGAAAACTGCAATCCCAATCCCAATCCCAATCCTAATTCCAATCTCTAATCATCCTCAATATCATCATCGCTCAAAACAAACTTTTCTTCCTGCTGTTGCACAGGCACGCCTCTCTCACCACGCATCCCTTTTTTCATAACCACCACACCCATACCTCCTCTCATTTTCTTCCTCGATGCACTCACATCATCCGGTTTATCCGTAGCCCAGTTTCCAGCATTCGGTTCATTTGAAACGGAATTGGACTCGTCTTCTTCGTTGGGAGTTTCTTCTGTGGTTTGTTGGGGACCGATGCCCGTGAATGTAGTTATTTTTTCGAGGGATTTGAGGAGGGGGTTGAGGTTTGATGATGATGAGAAGGAGGAGGAGGAGGAGGAGGAGGAGGAGGAGAAGGGGGTGGGGGTGGGTGCAGTGCGGGATTTAGATTTGGATTTGGAGATTTGTACCATGTAGGGGAGACGATCGAGGAGCATTTCGGTGCGCGCGGAAGAACCGAGGGTGAGGAGGGGCGGGGCGTCTTCTTTTTGAGCTTTGGGCGTGGTCTTCGATTGTGAGAGAGCAGGAGCGGCGTTTTTAGATTTCCAACTTTCCACCGTGCCAGGTTTTGGACGAGCAAATGCCGCAGCGCCAGATGTGATACTTGTGGTATTTGCATGTGTGAGGTCGATTTCTCCCTTGATCAAACGTGCAACCCAGAGATCGAGCGTACTTTCGATTTCCTCTTTCATGCGCCAGAGTTTGAGACTGGTGGGATAAAACATTTTGAACGCATCTGCTGCCTTACCTGTTCTGAAACCGGCTGCTGCGGGAGCTTTGCGAGATACGGGGTGAGGGAGGGAGAATAGAATGCCGCGCACGGAGATTTGAAAGGACATTTCGTCTTGGCGAAGGATATCACCCCCTGTTCCCGTTACGCCGCCACCAAAGCCCGAGGACTGTAAAGAACCATCCCAGGAGGGACAGAGGAGATCACTATCGGAGAGGGCGTCGATGCAGCCATTGACGTGGTCGAGAGATGAGAATTCGAAAGAGGAGGCTGGAGCTTCACATGAGAGGATGTAATTTTCATGGAGGGAGGCAATGAATGTTGGAGTGTCGGTGCCAGTCTCGTCGATGAGCTCGTTTATGTTTACTTCGGATTTCTTGGGACGGGAGTGGTAAGATATAAAGTGTGGCAAGGATTCCACATCATTTTCTACTTTTCCTTCGCGCTTGTTGTGAACGACTTTGCCGACCGCATGGAAGATCCCCAAGCTAGCTTCGCGACGAGTGATTAGTTCCAAAGATTCCTCTTCCATTTTCGTCAATGATGTATCTTTACTTGTTTTCTTGGCTTTACCAAAAACAACTTTGCCTCCCCAGTCATCAATATCACCTCTCAAACACATAAACTCTAGGGATCCAATCGCACTCCTGATATCGCCGACCTCACCAAGTTTTTTCAACACCTGAGGTCCTGGTGTTTTTCTCCTCCCTGACTTCCTTGACTCCTTTTGGACTACTATCTCGAGTGCCTTTGCTAATATGGTAGGCGCAATGGCATTAAATTCTATGACTCCTACTCCCGGATGTTGGAGAATCTCTGGCCCAAGAAGACGATGGGCAGTGAAACTGTCCGCAGAAGCCGAGGTGGTGGTAAGTAACGCCTCGGATACAATTATAACCACAGGAGTGATGGGATCATTCTTAGCTTTAGGATTGTATGGCATTGCAAGAGAAGGGGTATTAGACGCAAGGTATTGAATTATCGCAGACCGAAAGGACAGTAAGGTGCTCGAAGAACGAGTGAAAGTGTTTGGGAATTCCTCGACTAGTATGATCTGTTTCCTTCGACCCAATGGTTTGTCTTCTAATTTTGCAGGAACATCTCCATGATCGGAAAACAAATTGAGTTGACCAAATTTTCCACCCCTACCCATGAACTCCTCAAATTGCGCAGCCATTGATTGGAAACCGTCCGAGGAAGCGACTGATCCAACAGGATTCCTCCATTCTAGCACATCACACCCCATATCTTTCGCCAGTAGTTGTACTGTTGTTGTCTTCCCTGTTCCAGCAGCCCCCTTCAAAATCAATAATCGTTGCCTCATTTGTCCTGCTATAACATTATCAAGCCAAGTTCGAACATCTGTCACTTTCTTCTTGTGAACTCCAAGTTCCTCCAGATTGTTTGGTCCAAAGCGTTCAGCCCAAGGTCGCATATCCTCCTCGACTAGAGGCTTTACTAAAGGAGCCTGAGTCGGTCTCAGAAATCTTTGGCTAGCGCTGGGCGTATTGGTACCTGAATTTGTGAATACATTCTTTCCAACCCCCCGTTTGGTGGCTTGCCCAACCATGCTAACAGTTTGTGCTCGACTTTTTTCGAAATCATCATCGTCCGATATTATATCCTCTGTTAAATCAATCTCTTGCTGAATATCTTTCGAATTGAAAACCTTAAGCCTTTGTTTGGGTATCGTCTCCCCTTCAGCTTGCTGCCTCTGTGCTTGCTTTGTAAAGAATGTATGGATATCTGCATTTTTCCGCTTCTCTTCGACTTGCCCTTTGCGTCTCGACTTCTCTGGACTCGTACTGGGACTCTTTGTATTGGAATTCTTGCGATGGTTTGGCAGGTAGACCGGTGCAGCATTATGAGGATGATTGGCCGATTTGGATGGAGGTCTTATAAGAGAAGAAGATCTTGCAGAGCTGCTAGATTGTGACATAGGCCTTGAGACTGGATCAGAAGAGCTCGATTTTGGTGGCGGAGAGTGTGCCAAACTGCTCAATCGAGTTTTGAATTTATTCACTTGAGATGATTGATCATCCTCGTTCTCAGAGGTACGAGGAGAGGATTCAACGACATTGCGCTTCCGTCTCTTCGCTGAAGGTGCCATAATGGCAATGATATATTCCTACCGGGACACATAACATTACTCATCAAGAAGTCTAAAGCTTGGTGTGTGGGTCGACGTGATGGTTACCTAGAAAATCAAATGGAAGCTCAAGCTTGATATATACGAGTAATAAATAAATATAATAAATAAATACTCGTTATATTGAAGTTAGTCTTTATCACATACCAAGCTTATCTTATCTCCAATCACATGATTACGCTATGCTTATGTAAGGTCAACCTCTGATAATCTTGTGTTTCGATCGCGAGCTTCATAGGCAATGTTTTTACTCATATATGGACAAGTGGTTATGCGAGTATCGAATATCGGATGTGAATTGGACTTGAAGTCAAGTTGAAGCTAGTCATCCGAGATAGAAACTCTGATATCAGAACAGTGCTGCAAAGCTACCTACGCCGAATGCCAGATGCTGGATGCTAGAATCTGAAAAGAATCTCGATAATCTAAATGTGCAGCCGCCGTGGTTGAAGAAAGGTGTGAATGTAAAACGGGATGATCATATCATACCAAGGATGTACAGAGTAAGTATTTCACGCACTCACAGCACTATTCATTTTGGAACTTAACGATTTCATCTTGCACATTCGCAAGGCTGTGCGTACAGAGGCTCGAATTTGATGCTTAAGAAAGCCGAAAATGTATTACGAGTCTCGTGGTTCAGTTACACCATGTCACCATGTCACCGATTGTGGCTTCACACAGCCCAGACGCATCACATACTTGGCGGGGCCCCGCGATGGAGAAAAAGTATTTGTCCTGTTGCCTTTCAAGAGTCACAGCATATGATCACTACCGGTAAGTCGCCTTGGAGAAGTTTCAGCGTCAAACAACAAGCCGAAATGAAGACCTTCTCTGTTAAAGATTTATTTTCTCACCGATAGAGCATGGGCTTGTCTCCCTAGGTCTTCATTGGGGGTCTTACTAGTTGATTGTTCATCCGCCCTACGTACTGCCTTTTAGATAATTGGTCTTGAGTCTAGTGACACAACAGCCTCAACTTCTAGAAAATTATTTTGGCGATTGTTCAGAGGATCCTGCATCTAATATATCAGGCTGTTTCCGAACATGGCTTGGAGTATGCTCGCCGTGGCACTTTGTTCGTTAATACCGGAAACGAGCCGAGCGCATCTGGGCCTTATGGCACTGTTTATATATTTTATGGTGCTTTTTATAGCCCAGGTGAAGGGCCCGTTCCATTCACATATTCTGCTGAGGTGTTTCCCCTATCACATCTGGAAGTTGGAATAGGGTGAGCGGTTGCTACAAATCTTTTCTGGGCGGCTGTCTTGGGTATCACTTTGCCCAGGATGCTTGAGGTTTTCACTGCTACTGTAGGTCCACAACCCTTTCTTTCTACAATTGGATTGCTGATCTCTCACAGGGGACCTTTGGTTTCTATGCCGGCCTCAATATCATCTCGCTATGCATGATATTTCTTTTCGTCCTAGAGACCACGCAACGGACACTCGAAGAGTTGAATTTTGTGTTTGCCGTTCCCACACGTACACATATGCATTATTAACCTAAAGCTCTACCGTATGTTTTCAGTTATTTTTATCTTACACCTAATTCATCAATGAATAGTACACACAGCTGAACAACCAAATAGATGGTGGATAAAACGCTATATACTCCTGCAGAAACACGTAACCCTCGAACCGCTCTACAGTTTCGAGAAGCCGGTAGGCCGCCGAGGAATTGACGAATTGCATGAAAATGATAGATTGAGAGCCCAGAGAAGACAGGACAGTGAGTGGATGGCGAGGTATCAGAAAAAGAGTTTTGGCAGGGGGAATGAGGCCCTGAGCGGAAGTACTTTTATCGGTATGAGGGATCTTTGAATCTTATAACCATTGGGATTGAGGTTTTGTTTTGTGTTAAATAGGTTTGATGCCCGTTTTCATTCCTTGGGATTTCCGCTCATCCCATCGAATCTATCAACCGAATTCAGCTCTCAATCGTCCTAACCAGATTCAAACAATTAGAGCATTTTTCTTCTTCTGGAATGGCCATCATCGATTAACCGAGGCTCGGTTTCAATATTTGAAATCGACCTTCAAACGATCAACTGGTAGAATCCTTTGAAACAATCAATAATTATGACCGTGACGCTACAAAGTTGAGTTTAACATTGTATTGGGTATGTTCTCTCATTTATAATACAGTGCAGATACCATAGCATATTGGCAACGCATTACTATGACGATCCGGATCTACGCTATCTCGTGGTTGGTGTCAACCAGTCACAGAAATCCCCTTCATCATGATCCGATACATCCGACAAGCATCCGTCACTAGCTAGGAGTCCCTAGACTAGCTTATCAATTGCAAGCGCACCTAATAATAAAACTTAGCTTCTCCGCATCCTCCGCATTGGACTAAATCCACGTCCTTTGCACATCCCCCCGCATCCACATTTGCCGTGTTCTCTACCCGTGTATGCACCGTTGCGTCGATTTGGACTTTAAAAACGTCCGAAATGTGTTAGTGGAACTCGAAAACATTATTTATTTCCAGGTAGGAGGATATCTATTTTATCATTCCCATTTAATCTGTTCATTTTCCATTGTTTACTTTATCGACGTTTTGGCCAATTTATGGATAGAAAAACAAAATGATCCAATTAATTCTCTCCCTTCCAATCTGGGTACTCATCACCATCCCACCATCCATTTATATCCTCAGCACCCTGTTTCTCGCCCTCACCGACCCTCTCCGTCATATTCCAGGTCCTTTATTGGCTCGCTTCACCCGAGCCTGGTATTGCTGGGAGATATACAAAGGGTCTTTCGAACGCACAAACCAACAATTACACTCTCGCTACGGGCCCATCGTCCGCATCGCACCTCATGAATACTCAATCGATGATGTTGATTCTGCTAGGGTAATTTACTCTACAGGTGGAGGCAGCTTTCCAAAAGCTCCCTGGTATTGGTCTTGGAATCCTCCGGATCCAAATAAGGCTTCGATGTTCTCGGATCTGAATCCCCATCGTCATTCTGCACAACGCCGCAAATTCGCGAGTTATTATAGTATGAGTTCGTTGGTGGGTTATGAAGGATACGTGGATAACTGTACTCAGTTACTATCAAGACGCTTTGGGGAATTGGCTGGTTCGGGAAGGATCGTAGATATGCAGCATTGGTTACAGTGTTATGCATTTGATGTTATTGGAGAAATAACATTCGGGCAACGTTTTGGCTTTTTGGATATGGGAGAAGATAAGGATGGTGTGTTTGAGGCAATTGACGCCAGAGGATGGTATTCTACTTTCGTGGGAATTTGGAGTTGGACTCACCGGTGGTTGTATCCTATGTTGCCTAGTACCGGCGGGCATGCATATGTCGCCAAGTATACCGAGAATAGGATTGAAGCAAAAATTAAACTATTGAAGGATCCAAGAAGTGGGGAGAAGGAAAAAGAAGGTACACCAGATATTATGACGAGGATTCTGATGGCGTCGGAAAAGGATCCGGAAAAGGTTACGAGAGGTGATTTATTTAGTGCCTGTCAGTCGAATATCGGTGCTGGAAGTGATACGACGGTTATCACGCTTTCGAGTGTATTGTATCATCTGTTGAAATATCCAAAGACTTACCAAAGACTCCGAGAGGAAATCGAAACCGCGGCAAAGGAGGGAAGAATCTCAGATCCTGTTACTTTCAAGGAAGCTCAAGGATTACCATATTTGCAAGCAGTCATCAAGGAAGGACTTAGAGTTCATCCAGCTGTAGGCTTGGGATTGCAACGCATTGTGCCCGCTGAAGGCACTACCATCGCAAATCAATTCATACCCGGTGGCTCGACAGTTGGCATCAATGCATATGTAGCTCATCAAAACACATCGGTTTTCGGTCTCGATGCAGATACATGGAGACCAGAACGATGGCTCGAAATTGAAGAACAAGGTCGAAGTGGAGAAGTTGAAAAGTATTTCTTTTCTTTCGGCATGGGCTCGAGAACTTGTATTGGGAAGAATATCAGTTTGTTGGAGATTGGTAAGTTGATACCTCAGTTGGTGAGGAGGTTTGATTTTGAGTTGGATGAGGATGTGGAGAGGAATGGTGGGTTGGTTTGTGAGAATAGATGGTTTGTGAAGCAGAAGAACTTTAGGGGGAGGGTGTTGAAGAGGAGGGGCGAGAGTAAGAGCGGGTAGGGATGGACTTATTCATCATGTTTGCGAAGTATTATAATTAGGGCTGTTGACATTAGTTTATTTTCTTAGAGTAAGATAGTACATGATCCTTTTGACAATCCCTCATGGTAAGATCTTACCATTATGTAACTTCGCGCTACCAGCGGGAACTATTATAGCTTCCATTTTTACTTTTATGACCTCATGATCCGTAAGAACCATATCATAGCACGTCGACGTCGTCTATCCATCTGAAATAAACAACCAATCCTCCCATCACATTCCATCACATCCCATCCCATCCCATCCAAACCACCCAACCACCAACCCCAAAATGACCCAACCACTAATCCTCACCCTCCGCCTCGACTCCACCACCGAAAAACTCCTCACCACCCTCCGCACCCGCTTCTTCCCCCAATGCCGCAACCAGCTCACCGCACACCTCACACTTTTCCACGCCCTGTCCTCTACGCATGATTCCCTCTACACCTCTCTCCTCCGCACCCTCGTCGATGTCGAACGCGAACCCGTATTTCCTTATCACGTTCCAAGCCCCTTGCCTGTTAGGTAGAAAAGGCATTGCGCTCAATATTGCTTCGGGTAAATTACGTGATTTACGGGAGGAATTGGTGAGGGGGTGGAAGGGGATGTGGAAGCCGCATGTTACGGTGCAGAATAAGGTGGGGGAGGAAGAGGCGAGGAGAGCGTTGGGGGTGTTGACGAGGGAGAGGGAGGGAGAAGGGGGCTGGGCGCAGGCGTTGACTTTTTGGAGGATTTTGAGTTTGTGGGGGGTGTTTCTTCGGGTGGTGTACCAGTGTGATGTTTTGGGTTGAGATGAGATGAGGCTTGTCGTTCCTGGTTTGTTCTCTCGTATATACAATACATAGTATATATATTTTTCCTGTATAATCTTTCTCCTACATGCGGTATAACTAATTATGGAATCATCACATGGTCCGCGTAGTGTTTGCTACTCGAGTGTAGGTAGATCAAATCGATCATGAATTTATAAATCGAGTACTACTATACAGTATATACAGTACCGAGCATCTTGGCGAATAATTGGAAAGATACTCAATTATTCTATACAAGGTATAGAAGACACGCTAGTGATTTCTGTTTCTTATAGCTTACAGACGGATGCTGATATTATCCCCAAGAGCCCGGGGGAAGAAACGTTTAGTCTGTTGAGTCGAGCATATAGCATTTCTGGATCAGAATATCTTGTTCAATACAAGTAAAAGTAACAAGTTGAATGATAGTGATGACTGAACACTTTTAGACTAAAGTTGTAAACGCGTTGTTCCGTTGCTTTCATGCTCAAGATCTGTGTTGAATATCGACACAATTAAATAAGGAAAATATAGAGAATGCAATAAGTGTTGCGTATTCGTTTCCAAATTGACTATCAAGTCTGGAAATCCTTCCTTGGGTAGGAAAGAACTTCCACCAAGTTATCACCAAATTGAAAAAGAAATTGTTCGTGGCTGATATGGTGTATGATTTTGATGAGGAGCATGTCACTTTGATGCTCTTGAACAATAAGAGAATTCAGAATTCTTGGACTATCGACGATATCTTCTTCTGTCTCGTTGATGACACTATTAGACCTAGGTTTTCGGGATTTCCATATATTTTTCATTCATAGACATATCAAATTCTCAAAAAAAAGTCCGATCTGGAGGTCTAGAAAGTTACTGCAACTACAGTGCTCTTACAAAGACAGTGCGAGAGTGTATCACCGAAATTGTTGTCCTCAGGTTACAGCCGATCTTCAACTTTCCAGTTCAAGAGCTTGCCTTTCTCATGTCACCGAATCTATCAATATTTGCGTTGTATTTTCACGCCTTACCCAAAATCAAAGGACCCTAAACCAAGCATTAGCACCACCATCCTCCTACAAAAACAAACACAACTATCAAAATAACCTACCATAAATACAAAATTCCTGTTAATAATCTTCCAAGTCCCATTCGCCAACTTGGCCTAAGTATCTTCATACCTGCTAGTAGCAAACAATGTATGAGTATCATCCTCCACCACCGGCGCGATATCCAGCAAGAAAAAGTGGCTGGCCATAAGATAAGTCACCGAGATAGCGCTTGTCGGCGAGCAAATGGCGATGTATTGCGTACCGTATCTATGATGCGTTCCGGCAAAGATCGCAACGGCTGCCGAGATGCTATTGGTGATGTTTGCGAGTCCATAGGTGATACCGAGGGGTTCCGAGTAGTTTGCTCGGACGTTTGGGGCGAAGATTCGTGAGAATGCGGGCCACTGGGTGGGTGGGATATTAGTAGTTTGCTATCATGAGAAGGGGATAGGGAATGGAGAAATCCGAGCGGGGTTGGAAATTTAGATGATGATGTAAAAGAAAGCATAGAAGTAATGTGTAGTGCAACACAAAAGATTGTCCATTGCAAGAAACACATTCTGCTCACATTGCGGCCATCTACTGCAAAAGCGTAGAGAGTCAAGGTGTTACGTATAGATTCTGTAGCAATTGGATCTGTGAACGGCGATATGGGGAGTATATCCGCTAACTGGGAGACGGTAGCTGGTCCGGGAGAGATGTTAGGACATCCTGAGTACTCTGAGGCGGAAACAGTACTGTGAATTAGTCCAGTGATAATGATTAGAAGCTTGCTTAATTGCATTTTGGATGAATGATTGCAGTGAATAAGGCTGATGAAGGAGAATGAGGGTTCAGAAGGTTACTTTACCCCTCATCTCAGGTCGATGTGACTACCTATGTAAGCCTTAGTAATATGTATGGCTGAAGGGCGGGCCAATCTGTTCACCGCCCAATTTATGCCGCTGTCTTACATGAGTAACCAACTATACGGCCAGTTTTCAGAAGAGTATCACGCGGATGTTCAATTCGATTCGAGAATGGTAATGGATGATATACCTGGGACCTTTGAGGAACATAACCACACAGCCTTAGACTCTCGAATTCCAAATCGCGGACACCTCAATTCTTCTATTTCCTTATTCTCACTTTGTTCCACAGAAAACGACAAACCATTAGCTTTAGGTGATCAAGTATATCCTTCATGTGATTCTCTTCATACGCTGCTCAGTTATGTCCATCGTGAGCTCCCCATCGCCTTTTCCTTCGCTGTGGCATATTTATCTGGTTTTCTACTAGATTTCGGAATTGCAATCGCGAACTTCAATGGCGCGTCCCTGTACAATATGCCATCGATAGCTTGCCTAGCCGCTTGGGCCCCTTGGCTAGTGGTGAAATCAATATAGCAAAAATTGCGTCGATGATTATCCGGATTGTTATCACGAGGACTAACCCTCTTACTTACTGCATCGCTAGTGGAATTGTTAGGCTATATCCAAATTGTATACCGGTATGCGAGGGAAAAACTTACATTTCGAAGTCCTTGAAGATGGATCGAATCTCCAAATCATTCTCTGATTGATCAAGCATCCTCGGCAGTCCATCAACGCGGAGTTGTCGGCCCTCTTCTTGGGCTTTTGAAACCTGGAAATACCTCATTGCGTCATCAGGTCCCGTTTGTCCCGAAAGTCTGTCTTGTTTTGGGTCTCCAACTCCTGATCCCTCCCAATCACCCCAGCGATTATAGCTGAGACTACTATTTTCATCACGGACCCCATAACCTGGACCACCATGTCGAAGGTTACCCTTGGGCCGACAAGGACGACACTTAACCGGTCGACCAAACAACGGAAGGCCCTCCAATATTCTCATAGCGTCACCCGCATTCCCCTTTTCTGCAAACTCAATAAAGCAATATCCCGGACAGCGGCCTGTAAATGGATCGATAGATACGTGAACATTTGTAGCAGAAACAATACTATTCTTCGCGAGAAATTTATTAATGTCATCCGGCGTGGTGGTATAAAGCAGGTTTCCGAGATAGACGCGACGGCCTTCCGCAATGGCTTTTATCGTTTCTGGCGAGTCCTCCTGCTGTTGTTCAGGTCTGTGAACTTGTACGTCTTCGGGCGGCTTCTTTCTGCAAGCGACACGATCGGTTGCCTGTGAGGACGATCTTCTCGAGCAGAGCGGTCCTCCCTAGGTCCTCGGCGGGGCCAGTTTGACTCTCTTGGCTGGGAACTAGATTCCGTTGGCGCGCGAACTCTCCAGTTCGATGAATCGGACATGATTGTCGATAATCGATAAGATTATAATGATATGAGAAGAAAGTAAACTGGTGTACTGGCGTGCAAAGTAAGTTATTGTGTCGATACGGGTACGAATTAAAGAGGTTGGGATTTGAGGTTATTGCAAAACAAGAAGTCAAGACCCTAAATCCTTGCATTAAGGTTAAATAACTCTAGATTATTTTGAATCTAGCTCTTTGTAGTTAGCTTTCTTTGATATGATTGACTACAATAAGCCATTCATTCCCAATTCTAGTTCACATTGCGGGGTAGAGGCCCCAGGGATCAAATGATTCCGTCGCCCACTCCTGCATCAGAATTCAAATGGATATGTATGGTGAAGCTTACTAATTTATGACTAATATCCCACACTCAGAGTCGCTATTGTCACGCATGATTTAGTATCGAACCTAAGCTATTCTTCAACTTGTACCTGTATATTATATTTCTTTAGCTTCTAACCTAAATATCCTCATATTTCTACACATCTCCCATGGTCTAATTAAAAAACGCACAATCGAATATGTATAGAAGTTTTATCATCAAACAACCCAATATCCAGAGGCACTCTTGCTTTCCAGTCTAGTCTAGTCAAAATGCTTATACCTAGTCAAACTAGATATTGATTATGAAGAATAAAGCTCATCTGTCAGGAACTATAATTGATAAAAGCGAAACTACTCCCAACATTCTTTGCATTCTCTCCATTCTGTCCGTATCCCTAATATCTACCATTCCCTCTTACCAATCAACGTCTTCGCCTAACTACCTCTCCCTTCCTACCAGATACACAAACCTCTACCCTACCAATCACATTCCCAACCCCCCTCCACTAACTCATCCCCCTAAACCCCAAAGAAAGGTCTACATTTATTTGCCGCACAAAACCCATCACAGCAAGAACCCAAGAATTGTCCCGTAGTAGAAGAATAGCAATCGCCTATACGCATTAGCTTCCTGTCCCATCCATCCACCCCTCATTCCTCATCATCCTCATCCTCATCATTTTCATCCCCATCCCCATCCCAAAAATGAAAATCACTCACCATAATTAGGAATACACCTTTGATCCGTAACCTGACAACTAACCCCCGTAACCGGCGTCGGAGGCCCCATACTAACAACCCCCCCATTATTAACCAACGCAGCAACATTATCATGATAAAAAGTGCAGAGGTGGAAAACGTCGAAGTTGGAGGAGCGGATGAGGGAGATGGTTAGGGGGTTATCTAGAGGAAATTATTAGTACCGTAAGTTGTTGGGGAGGTGGATGGTGGAGAGAGTGGGAATGTTGGAGATAGAGATATAAGGAAGAAGGGAGCACGAACTGATAGCATGAGTCTGACCATCTGCAGGAATAGTCAAGTTGTAACTGGCCGGTCCACCGATAAATGTAATATCCACATTGAAGAAATCGGTAGGAATAGCAGTGACACCGCTAATGGTTGCGAGACCAAGAGTCATGAGAGTTGGGAGTGAGAATAGCATATTGATTTGTTGGTAATGTTATAAGAATACCGGATTGATGATATGAATGTTGAAATGTGTTTCTGAAGTCAAAACTTGAATTTCAGAGGGTTTTTCTCATCATATATATCCTAATTCCGCGGGTCTTAGACCTGCCATCTTATTCCTTGTATTGTGTATATCGTATATACCCGGTGCGGAAGAGATATACATAAGCATGCATACGGTATATCATAAGCTGAGCGAGAATCAACCCATTCATACCCGTCATCGTCAGATATCTGATACCCTGAGGGGACTCATATCTCCCCATCTTCTACTAACGTGTCTATCTCACTTCATAACTACCATCATATCAAATGTGAAATACGAGCCAAAAACCCACAAGCTCAGCTCCCTCCACATCATATCTGTATCTTCACCGCAACATACTTAGTACACATACCGGTATAACTTACACCAATAGAAATTCCAAGCACATTGTGCCACAAAGCTCAACACATCACGAGAAAATCACAAATACAAATAATCTGACAATTCTCACGCGCTATCGCGTGATGATACATGCATGACATGTTATGTAAAATCATAATTTTCAGGTGATATGACGTGGATAAGATAATGAGGTTAACGATGTTTGCTGGGAATATGCCATCATGATCCGACTTTGTCTCACTGCCAAGACGGACTGGCGTTGAGGCTGAGATTTGGTGTACTACTATACGATATGTCTCGTGATTACATGGAGATATACGAGAAATGGGTTGATAATGGCTTGGATAGTGAGAGAATGGATACGAAGTTTGGTGTTGGGGTGGGAGCTGAAGATTTGAAGATCGTGATATGTGTGTCATGTGGATGTAGCTTGATTGTTGGTGTAATGGACGTTTGTCTGATCAGCTGAATCTGAGAGCTTGTCACTAGCAAAATGCGAGGCAATTATGTGAAGTATTGGGAATTAAAATATAGGACAATAATTTCGTGGACCAATAACTTGAGCTCCCCTCTTGAGGTTTCTTATAAATAAGAAATCATTGCGTGTTTTATCTCATAGTCTCTTTCGATACCCTGAACTTCCTAAATACAAGATGAGACACTAGCCCATTTCTTACCGGTGGACCTCAGCCAGTTCACGGTCTCTCAGAAAATGTACGGGTTCTCAATTTCCCTCCACACTCATAACCGTTTGAACGTGTTCGAACTTCAGCAGCTCATTCTTTTGACTAGCGAGTAACTTTGCCGTCTTCAAGACATTCTTAATCTGTCTTCCGTTGATGTTCGCATCCGCAAATTTGCTAACTTCATCATCAGTGATCTGTGATGGTGATCCTGATTCTCTCCTCTCGATAAGAAGTTTCTCCAGACCTTCTCTCTAGCACTCTTGTCGGTAGCAATGATATCTTTGAGTTCTGATTCGATAATTTTGTATAGAAGTACCAGATGAGTTTTCGTCTCTCCATCACCTTCATCCTCGATGGCTTGCATAAGTTGTGTCCAGCGATGAACGAAGGCATTGAAGGGGGCTTGAGAATTGAGTCGCTTCAAACTTGGGGTGACGCCAGGGTAGTCTTTAAAAACTTGTTCAAAACCTGCCTGAGCAAAGGACTTTGAATGACGATACTATCGATTTCGAGTTTCTTGCGAGAATCGAAGCTTTTCTTGTTACAGACAAGAATGGCATGACGGGCGGTCATTTCATTGTCGGCAGCACGTCCAAACCATTAGGATACTTGTCTGTCCAAGTGCATCGACCATGAGCATCTTCTTTTGATAAAGGCTCTTGATATCACACTTCATATCAGCCTTGGAGTTTGTCATGGCGTCCATCTTGGTTTCTGTTGACACTGTTGTAGTGCGCTTCAACTGTATAGTTGGGGAGGTTTGACGATGATAAGAAGGTGCAATAGTATGATTTGATATAGGGAAGCATCGGACGCGTTATCAACATGCCATACCATCAATTGAATGAAATGTCTCGTCTCACAACAACTGCTATGCTTCTCTAGACCAGGCTTCATCTAGAGCCTCAAGTCACCCCTCGGGAGGCTAGCCAACGTGGAGAGGTCTTTTACGTGTAAGCCGCCGGAATGGAGTAACGTTGTGAGGCGGGAGATATCTGCCGTAGCCCAGGACCAATCATGCTGTACTTCGTCATATTTTGAACCACAAAAAGTGTGACTCGGTCAAGAAAGCGGACACTGTGACACAGTTTCGATATGCTGAATTCACATATATATGCAGGAGATATATATTGAAGGAATATTCGTAGATGAATTGAATAGCTAGTAGTAACACGTTGTCTGAGGATGAGGTCCGTATCGAATCCAGATATCGGTACTGAAGAACACGATTGAGCAATGAATCTTGTGATTCAAAAAAAGGGATCATGATGTATATATATGAAGCTTATCAAGACTTGTCTACCGTACCTAACCTCAGCCGGCCAACAGACATGTAAGACAGACTTGCTTTCCAATACCTACCAATTATCTAGAACTTGAACATTGTAAGATAGTATTCTGTTCTGGATTCTCCCAATGGGGGCCGCTACTATTTGTTCAAGATTCTTGCCAAAAATTGAATACCAGTGTTAGCATTGGAAGAATGAATGTTGGAATGGAATCTGTATTGCCGTTAGTGCTTACGAGTTTGGGATTAGCTCCAAAATAAAGTTTAGTACATCACGTGTTAGCATGTTAGTTTGGCGTACAGGGACTCGTAATAAATTCAATAATCTAATTAATCCGTCGCGTTTTATTTTTCGCCACATCATCTCTTTCACAACATCTTCTTTTCTCAAACCAATTTTAAAAACCTCAACTTCAACTTCAATCAATTGATCAATTGATTTGAGTATGAAAACGGCATCATGTATAGAACTAAACAAAAGGCAGAGCAAGCGGCTCTGGATGGTGAAAGTACAGAAGAATTTGACACTCAGCAGTGTAGGGAATTGCAAGAAGCAATTATGTCGGTAAGCTACAGATGATCTGCGCCTGTAAAACCAACATTTAGCAAATCACAGCGCTGGGAAATTTACAAGGGTAGCACTGACATTTTATCTTCACCAATAGAGTAGTCCGATAAAACCGGCCGCGGCCAACAGTATGCCTGTCGCGTCAAGAAACTTTGCTATCAACGCGACAAATAATGATAAAGAACCTGCAGGAGATGGGAAACACGACAATCAAGCCCAGGAAGTTTTTGACGACATAGAGGAACCTAATTTATCTGTTCCAAATCCCCCATTCACATTCGGACAAACGATTAATGGTCCCCCAATCAATTCCGGCTCCACCCCCAACCGCAACAATGAAGGCAGTTTGAGGCCATTCGATATCAGCGGGAAACAATATCAAACGGCCACGGGTTCCCGAATGAAAGCAATGGCGGAGGAGGAATCCACTCAAAAGACCAATTTGTCTCTAACACAAGAGAATTCTGCGTCCGTTTACGAAGCTCTTGAATTGCACAATTTAAGGAATCAGGATGTGGAAGGCAATGATCCCGACCTTTCATCGAGCCCACCCATCCCTATCGAAGGGGAAGATTTATCAGAACTGCAACAAAATGGCATATCTAGAGACCCTTTCAAGGTGCCGAATTCAATGCATACATGGTCGACTGCACGGACATATGAGGAAAACGATACTGGGCATATAAACTTTGATGGATTCCAGCCAATATCGGCGCCAGATGAAGGACATTTTGACTCTCAAGATCCACCTATTGCGCCCGCTGCTGAGGATTTTGTGCAAGAACGTCATTTTGAACCCCAGACTCCAGCTCCGTTGGTCAATCCGTTCTCCGAGAAAGGTAGTGTAATGAAGCAGTATGAGCTCTTCGGCGCAACTCAACCATCATCAGCCGTACGACTAGGCGGCAGTCCTACTTCTTCTAGACCATCACCGGAGGTTTATAATGGATTTCGGTCCTCGCAGGGGATGGAGCCTTCACCACTTTTCAGACGTTCGGAGGTTGCCAATGCAATATCTCAGGGTTCTGTGCGATCTCTTCTGAGATCAGTATCTACGGAGACACCTGTCTCCGTAATACCCACTCAAAGTCTCACCACAGTTCAATCATTTGCTTCTGACTTGAGGAAACTAACATTTACTCGCGAACCTCAAAACTATTTTACAACTATGAAAGAGTCGCAAGAGAGACGAAGAAAGTTGAGTGAGCCTGAAGCATCTTCTGGCTCCGAGTCCGAGTCAGAAATTGAGGCGGTATCAAAGAAATACAAGAAGGCGGAAATAGACAGGAGGAAACGCGACGAGACAGCCAGAATTAGTTTGAGGAGACCAAACTCATCCAGTAGACCCAGCTCTGCAAAAGAGGTAAAATCAACTTTTACCACAGCTGGCATACCCCCAAGGTCAACCAATCATAAACGCAATTCCTCCGAGGTAACATCTTCTCGTACCCCGCAAGCGTCTGAGTCGACTCCAACCGCCGTGGAGGTCCCCGCGAGTGGCCGACGTCGAAGTATACAAGATGATTATGTGGCCCAATGTGAGGGGCTTGACGCACGAGATACTCAACCAACACAGCAAGACATGGTTGCCGATTCTCAAGCTGCTCCTGTCTCTAGCAATATTGCTGCAAGCTCTCCAGTACCAGGACCACGGAATCACGTATCAGCTTCTACCGATGTTGGGAAGAACGGTGCAGAACCAATGAGCCCATCTCGAAGGCTACCAAAAGAGGTGCAGCAACCTGCAAACCCGGGCGCCACTCAAACCTCGGACAGTACCGACATCAACAAGATGAAAGAGGTCCAGTGCATGGATTCTAATGTCTCTGCTTCTTTGGATCAGGAACAAACTACGTCGTCGGATGAAGGACCCGACAGCAAGAATCCCACAGCATCGGTTACTCAAATGCAAGATATGTTATCCGACGGTGTCGCTGCCACCATCCCAGAGACGAGTCCAGCCACAGAACGTTTGAAGCCTATGACTGAGATCGCAGACGTGTCCTTCGGTGTGGCGCATGACGATCAATATGACGATCTGCCAGGATTCAACATGGATGAAGAGTTTCATGCCGTTATTGGTCTATCTAATCACCAGATCCCGAAACCTCAACTTAATTTTCAGCCAGAGGTCGTCACCACACCTAGCCCCGTTGATCTGATACCTACTGCTTCTTCTGCGCTAGTCTCCTCGGGACTCTCATCAGCGCCCAGTGCACTGGAGCCTGCCACACCTGTCACTGACGATCCAATTACGCCTACAGAAAAAGCCGGTTCTGAAATGGCATCAGTTGATCGCAACTCACGTGAAGAAGAGCAACCAACTGAACCGTCTGACTTGACTTCTCCGGTACAGTCTTCGAAGGCTAACCCGGAAAGGGATTTGCCCCCGCTGGCTTCGACTGAACATGACGCGAGACGACATGAAAGAAATCAGAGTGAAGAACCAAAACTTCCATCAACGAGTAGACAGCGACGAGGAAGCGTGTCTCAAAGCCCGTCACGCAAATCTACTCGCATCTCAAAGATTCAGTCAAAAGGGGTGACGTACTCAAACAAACGAACAAGCACGGCTCGCAATAAGAGACTTTTGAGCGTCTCATCCACAGCTTCGACTCATCTCTCAACCACGACAGAACCAGATATGGCTTCAGATTCGATTTCAAGTACGAATGGTCGTCCAAGACGCAATTCTGCTGTCAAATTCAAGGACAGTACAGAAGAGACTCCTCTGCCGGCTGCAAAACGAGGCCGCCCGCGTAAATTCATCGCCCCGGATAAGAAAGAAGGAACTATGTCGGCGCCGCCTTCGAAGAGGAAATCGGCACTACCCCTGCAAGAAGATAGTGAAGATCCGCTGGCGCTATCAGCACCCCCTTTAAGAACGGTCGTACACAGTAAAAAGTCGATGGGCAACTTATTTAGTGATATGGCTTTTGCTGTCTCCTACGTTGGCGCAGAAAAGGACAAAGAGATCGCTATTCGTTTGATCAAACAGCACGGCGGCCGTATATTAGAAGACGGATTTGAGAAATTATTTACTCCTGGATTATTACCTTCCAGGACTCGTACGGAAGATAATGAGATTGGGGAGACGGAGCTCAAGGTTATACCTTCAGAAGCGAACGTTGGCTTTGTGGCACTGATTGCAGATGAGCATTCGAGAAAGGCCAAACATATGCAAGCATTGGCGCTTGGTCTCCCTTGTATCTCAGGGCGCTGGGTATCTGACTGTGTCAATAAGGGCACTATTATCGATTGGTTGCCATATCTTCTTTCTGCCGGCCACTCTTCGTTTCTAGGCGGGGCAGTCAAAAGTCGCTATCTTCGCCCATATTCTGCTGCCAATGCAAACCTCAATGACACGTTTACTGAGAGGCCTAAGCTGCTCGATGGAGTATCGGTCTTGATCGTCACTGGCAAAGGGAAAGCTGGAGAAAAGCGAAAGCCTTACACATTTCTGACTCGAGCCCTCAATCCACTACGCCTTGGCCAAGCACAAGACCTTAGTCAGGCGAAGGAAATGCTACTAGACGCAGAAAGCAAGAACGCCGATTATGATTGGCTTTACGTCGACGGCAAGCAAGACGTGGAGGCAACTATATTCGGAAGTACTCCAGCCAGTACTGCGGGGAGATATCGAAAGCGGAAACGATCATCGATACAGGAGGAGGATGTTTCGACACCAACACCAAAGCGCATCCGTGTAATCAATGATGAGATGATTATCCAAAGTTTGATACTTGGTCAGCTCATCGAGGAGTAAGATGGCTTGTGATTCCTTGTAGCAATATTTCATTCCGGTGTTGAATTCACGTGTACGATTGGCAAAACTTATAAACAGCGGGAATGGTCATAGGCGTATGGGATGCAGCGGTGATGGTCGGCGCATGAAAAAGAAGGGCATTGCCAAGGAAAGTTTGCTCAAATTTTTGAAAGGAACGGGAATACCAATTTAATTTTGGGGGAGTTTTACGATGGTCATGGAGATAGATATGTAAGATGAATTATGAGCTGAGATCGCTACCATTTAGCTAGATAAATAATGTAGCAGTCATCCTGGCTATGCTATATGCGAAATCTTGAATGTGGTGCATGCAATATTGTGATTCGTTGTGGAAGAGTTGCTTTGCCGTTCTATTGTATCTAATGGTCTCGAAGGATTTTGGAATTTTAGAAATTGCCTATCTTTGGATATCGTTTAGTATTACGACTAGTATTCTAAGAGAAATATGTGCGGCTAAAATATCAATACGCTAAGTGGCTCCGAGATTATATATATATATACTCACTCATAAAACATTACAGATCCAAAAAAATCCGTTTTTTTAGACTAGACTACAATATCCGGAACCCCCAATCCTATCTCTCCGCTGCTGCTTCCGCTGCAAGTACAAGTGTATTTGTTGAACGTATTATTATTTAATCAATAAATAGTAGACGTATTGGATAGAAGTGCCATATCCAGTCCTCGATATCGATTTAATTACCTGTGTGTGATTTGTGTGATTTGTGCTCGTGGGTATATCCTCATATTCCTTAGGTGTGTTTGAGTTCTCTGAATGCTATATATGAATAGATGGATAGATAGATATACATATTGGACTAAATCGAGGTTAAATGAATGGTGTGGTGTATTGTAATGTAATGTGGTGTAATGTGGCAATATTTTCTTGCCATAATGTTTGAGAATAGAAGTGGTTGGGTTTGATTGAAGGGGGGGAGGGGATGGAGGAGGGAGGAGGGAAGAGGGTGGCATTCTGGATGAATGGATTCAGATGATTGGATTTGCTTGTGAGGAGACTAGACTAGTGAGTTGAAGGGGCGGGCTGGGGCTGATGTTTTTTGGGAATGGGGGAGGGAGGGGGGACTTGTTTGGTGTTGTTGTGGATTGTGGATTGTGAATTGGTTTTATTGTCGTCTCTGAATTCGGATCTTAGATGGTGACGTGATGGGTGGTTTGATGATTTGTGGGTATGTTTGTGGGTACATATAGTATTTTGGAAAGGTAGGAGAACTTTGATCATCGATATCATTATACTACGCTTACCGTAAATTATGAAATATTCCCATCATCGTCACCGAATCCGAATTCTTGAGTGTAATACAGTGGTTTGATAGTTTATTGGTATGTTTGTTGGTATGTTTATGTTCATGGGTATCCGGTATAATAGGTCTACATAAAAATAATAATGCACAAAGATTCGAGAGTGAGAAATGAAAATAAAAAAGGAAACAGAAATGCTCAGTCTAGAAATCTTGTTGCGGTTGTGAGGCTCTCGGGATCAATACTAATGGCTGCTTTGTTTGATGGTGGAACTGCTTTACAATATTGGAAAGGAGGTTCAAGTTTATATAGTTCCTAAATGTTGGTACTGTAGAGAAATTCTGGGTTGAGGGGTATGCCGGTTGGTTGTTCATTATTCAACAATTGGAACGTAGCTATCTATATACTTACCAGTAGTTACAAATATCTCTTAATACAATTTCTACTTAGTAGAAGAGTACGCTTTGTTGTTTATTCCATATAATTTCCTACTCGAGTATATCAAATATTGGATATTATAAAGTAATCCATTCATTCTCCATTTTATCTACCACCCTAATATTGAAAGCAACCTTATTATCCACGTAGTCCATGCTCCATAATTATACACACCGTTCCCCGCGAGCGATCGAGGTTTCGCCGGCTGCAGAAAATGTGTTACTGTGCTTTTGCGCAGTCAATGTAACAGTTAAGATTGCGAATCAGATAGATACCTAACTTGACGTGTTGTTATTGTCCTATATGGGAATTATTCGAATTATTGTCACGATTAAAGTTGCGATAGTGATAAACTAAAATGACAAAAGTACTGAGTTAAAACTTAATTGTGTTGGAACTTGGCAGTGGGATTTCTCGGTTAAAACCTCAGGGGTACGCATGCAATGAATACACATCGCAGGAATCGTCACGGTTTACTCAGAACGAATCTGAACGACCTAAAGCGCATTCGAGATCTCTTGTGGAAATGCAGATTTTTTATTCCAGGGTCTGGGGGGATTTATCTTACATACGAGTAGAGGGAGATTTATTCTGGTCTCGGTGTACGAGTATTGTATTCACTGCAAGTGCAGCTAGAATATTCCTATTTTTTAGTATCTTACTTATCAAGGTTTGGAGAACGTGGATGTTAATTGTTTATGGGTTTTGGTTCATAGTGAATATTTGCTTTCGTGACTATCGTCAATTAAAATGCATTATTGGGATTTATGTTCAATATAGTTGAAATGGTGCATATATCCACTGGCTTAGCTGAGCTTAGTCATTCAAAGACTCTCTTACATCTCTTATCAAGTCTCCAAGTCTCGTCTCCGAGTCTATAGAACTTAGATCTCTCTCTATTGTCATCATAATATGAATATCTTTCCCATACACTAACTATTACTATACTATCAAGAAAAGACTACCGGTATCTGGTAGCGTAATAAACACTGCACAACCGTCTCCTCTTAATCCTCCGCCACATCTCAATCGCTAAGCCATCTAACCAAACTATATTTCTTGGTACCTAGTAAATCATACCTTCCAAACACTCCAGTATCGGAATTTTGCACCTTCCTTAACCGAATATTACTATATGCTTGCAATTTTCTCACTTGGGTTGACACCTTACCTCCTTCCCTCCTTCCAAATAGAACTTCACTTCACTGGATAAAAATTCATTTCAATTCCCCTTCAAACCCAAAATCACAATACCAGTACCCTTAACAAAACTAGGTTCGCAAGTATAACCTACTTCCGAAGAACACAACAAAATAACTATCTTGATTTCTAGTTACGTAATCTTACTTATAAAGAAAGCCAAGCGCAACAAAAGTTTTCAGTCCTGTATTTCAATTGGTCACTCTTTACAGTAGTAGGCTTGACTTTCGGGCTCATAACATTCATCAATCGCATTATATCATTCATATCTTTAAGCACTAGTCCTCTTCGTGACTTCGTCATAAAGTAAATTTACACGCCGTGTGGATCACTCACTTCACCGGCATAGTCATAGTTTACCGTCGCTACTTTCCGCATACATCTTCACTTCCACTGATTGTTGCGTTGTAAAATAGAATCGAAATGAATACAGTACAATTCCCGAATCACCGGTGGTGTGTCGTGCCAACAGGATTCTTATCTTCTTAAGTCATTTAATCCCTTGAAGTTTCATTGTTCGAAACTAGTTAATTGTTCGAAACTAGTGAATCGTTCAAATCAAATTAATCATTCAAGTCCAATTGATTGTGTAAATACTGATTGTACAAGTAGATTCTGGAATATCCTTTGCGTAAAGCGCAAGAAGAGCAAGTGGCCGACTTCCTAAGAAAGAACCAGAACACGTAACCTTTCCACCGATACCATTTTAAAAAAATAAAATTGGTCTTTATATTTGAAAGAAAAAAGAAAACCACACCAGAACTCCAAACACAAACCCAAACACAAACCATCTATTCGTTTATCATGATCCTCCACTATCCACTCTCTACCCCCTATCCTCCTACCCAAGACCCAGTGCTATGCTCCAGAAGAGTAAGAAATACTTCTAAAAGAAGATAACTTTTGCGGCGATGAGGATGGCCACGAGGACTATGGCGCTACGAACGACGGCGGAACCACAGCCGGGTCTTCTCACTATTCAAAAGGGCCTGGTTTAACGCGTTATCGAGCTGGAGCTCGAAGAATTGGGGTGGCCTCGCCGACCCGCAGTTGTGATTCCTGGTTGATTGATTAGCATCTGAAGAATGAATGTACAAGAATATATTAAACAATGATAATAGTATTGACCTACAAAGAGAAGATGATCCCTCTTCCTCTCCAGAAGAAGAGCGTTATCGCCTGAAGAGCCGTAAGGTCTCGGGAACCAAAGATGAACCGAGGGCCGTGGACTCTGCTGCGTCGGCAGCTAATCTTTCTTCTGACAATCTTTTTCTTCCGCCGGGAGATTAGGCGAGGTGGTTAAAGGACTGTGGGTCATAAGGTCTTATTGTTTTTAGTGAAGGGGCTGCTCTTCTTAAGGTCAGGATGAATCCTGTAGACTACATAGAAAGTGGATGCCCTAGCGGTTAGGCTCGAACCAGCCTACCACCGGCGTTGGCGGCGCGTTTTTCGGTTGTGCGGAGTTCGCACGCAAGCTTATTTCATCGTGTAACCCTATAAAGACAGCTGTCAGCGGGGTGGACCACTAAGTAAGACACTAACGTCTGACCTAAGGCCTAACATCTCACAACAATTCTAAAGCCCTGTCTTTGGACCGGAGAATCTGGCAGACCAAGAGACAGATGTTATGGAAAATGGTGTCTTACCTTCAAGGAGTTAGACATTGCTATCAATGCTATGGTGCTGGATATATTGGAGAGTATTGTATGGTGATGAAGTTGTATGATCGGAAAATTCTATGGTTAGAAGGTTGACGAAGAACAGGATTTGAAGAGCGGAATTGAAGGAGCTTTTATATTCTCTGATATTCTTCTGAACTATCAAATTAGGAAGTTAACGTAGGCTCACTCGTCACTTAATCATGGTTTGTACTTTCCGACTCTTGTAGTATAGGTCAATGGACGCAGGTGAGAACCAGAGACCCATCTTTTATCTGAATCCGTGGACTTTCTTCATGTGAGCAACGAAAAGTGAAGCAGTCGTAAAAGTTTCTTCTAGATCCTAATCTTCAACTTCCAGGCACACAGAGCATTGTAAAGTAATGCTATGATTAGTCAGGTATTGTTGAATATCTCAGAGTACTGAGAGGACAAAGTTGATTTGAGTTCTGTGCGATTGCTCTAAAAGACTTAAACCTATCACGTGAACATAGACTTTGGCATTGTAGGCAATGACGCTAATACAGAAAGGATACATGACCTCAAGGAATCGATAACAAGGGGGCCGAATCGCCGATATTGATTGTGTATAAAATGGAACTGAAGTACCTTCCCGAAACAGATCAAAGGCCTTTCGTGAAACAATGTAGTTTCGCGCCACCAGGTCAACAATATTATCAGGATATACAAAATATTCGAAAGATTTTTAATCTTTGAAAACAACTGAATCGTTGTAAGCAATTCATTGTTCCATCCGCATCTAACTCATTCGTCTTTAGTTCCCTTAGACACACAGAATTCAACCATTAGATGCAAAGTTTATAGCTCACATTCACATTACAACCAATCAATCAATGAAAAAATCAAATCATGTCAACCGAACAAACCACCAATCAATCGATCAAGTTATCCTTTCCTCATAGACGGAAATCGTAATCTTACCATTTCTATTTCAATTTGTCGGCTATCTCACACAGTGATCGTCACCTCCCGGCCAGAAGCTCACCCTCTTTCCCGTCTGTTACTAGCTCCCGCTAACAAGTGTTTTTACAGTCTCCAGTTAAACAACAACGGCTTCCGGTGCATGATCGTTCTAGCAAATATCTTCGCAATCACGTCGTCGATCACGGAGTAGGTTCTGATGATTGGTTGAAAAACGACAGGATGCATGCTGTCACCGCCGGATAACAAATGAAGGAATAGGGCAAGGCATTATGGAATTAAGGATATATGGGTCTAAGTCTAGTTCTGCAGCAGTAGCATTCCATCTTTCTGACGGCTATCCGAATGAGAAACTACAAAGCCACCATACCCACCGACGCAGAGAAATTGGCCTTACAGAGATAGCCGACTTTGTCACTGCCGCAAATGAAACCCCTTCTCCCAATATTCCAATTACAATCACTAGCGATGGTAGTGGCTCACAGGAAAAGAAAATAGAGATAATATAACACCTTTGAGAGGTCAAACATCAACGCTCAAGCTTTATATAAGCAGCTTCCTCGGGAATAACTTCCTCAGCACAACAATGTTTACCAGATTCGAATATATCAATCTTTGGCTGTAGTGACCAGTATCTCTGAATGTGACTTTGTGAATCATAATGGATTGTTTTGGGGTCTATATGTATCATATTGTTATTTTGCTCCAGAAAGTCGTTAAAGGATATCTAATACTTCTTCAAACATTCAAAACGCGCAAGATGCTGAATCGTATCGGAAAATCCACTGATATTCAAACATTCAAAACACATGAAATATCCACCACTCCTCAAACATCTACCACTCTCCAGACAACCAGTAAGATTGAAATATTATCTCTACATAGATACCCATAAATTTCTTTTCCTCTCCATACATTTATTGTCCATGCAGCACAAAGTCAAGAATATCAAAGATGAGGAAAAATGGGAATTGCTGAGGTTGAAAATGTGTATGTTTGGTATGGTATAGTATAGTACAGCTGAATGGGAGAGAGAACAGTGAACACTTGTATACTCTATGTTTTGGATCATTGGGATTGGCGAGGAGATGATTTGTGTGAAAATTGTAAACTTTTACATGGATAGCGATTACTGCACACTATAGAGGAAACTCCCAACATCATATGACTTTTCATACCCTTTCAAAGACCCAAGATGATGGACTCATAAGCCAACGTGTCGCGAACATGTAATACCAGTATATCAAGAAAGACATCGTTGCTAACAGGTATGAAGATCCAAGCGAATTGATTGAACAGAACAGAATAGAATATATTTGATGTACTCGAGTAACGAATTGAGTGGATAAATGAACAATCTCAACATTCCAAATACTTTCAACAGTTATTCCACTCCAGCAATTCATTCCGCCCCGCGCAAATGAATCCCATACAGTTCCCAAAACTCCCTCATCCCATGATCCTCAACTCATCCAATCCCATTTCTCCCAACACACCCCCTCATATGTACTAATCTTCACTCCCCGTCCCTGTACTCCTCGCTCCCCCAGATCCTCCCCTAAAAGTGAATCCTCCATCATCAATAATCACCTCCGAAACCGTCGCAGTTTCCTCACTCTGCCCACTACCCGTACCCGTACCCGTACCCGTTATCGAAGGTACTACAAAAACATCCGTAGCCGTCTCCACTGCACTCGCACTCGAACTTCGACTCGCATTCCCACCCACCGTCTCCGTCTCTGTAACCGTAGTCGTGACCGTATATTCAATCGACAACGGATCAATAACCAACGTCAACGTCGTTGTAAACGTCGGCGTAAAGGTCGGCGCACACACCTCATTCCCCACACTCGTAGCCAAATCCGAAGGGCCAAAAGGAAGACCAGCCGTGACCGTACTTGTAACCGTGACCACCGACGCTCGAGACGTTTCACAAGTCTGATTACAATACGAAATGGAAAACGTAACTGTAGATATGCTTACGGTTGATGAAGGATAAATGGTGGTAGTGTAGGGATATCGACCTGCTTGGTAGGTGGTGGTGGTGATGTAGGTGAAGTAGTCGTAGATGGCGGTTACGAGGGTGGTGGTTTGGACGTTGGTTGTTGTTGTTGTGCAGGAGGTGGAGGTGGGGCAGAGGATGGCGGGTGTTACCCTTATGATTGTGGTGATAATTTTAGTGCTAGCGGGTTCGAGTATTGTGGTGGGGATGGGGATGGAGGTTGTGATGGTTTGGGTATGGGTTTGGGTTTGTATGGGGGGACAAGTGGGACATCTGGTGATGAATGCTTGGGTGGGGATACCGGGAGCGGCGTAACAGGAACAAACTGATGAGAGAGAGGATTGAATGGCGGCGTTACCGAGTCTTTTGGTACATGCGGTTGCGGGACCTTTTTTGTCAAATTTAAGCGTGTTTTTGCGGCCGGGAGAGGTGAATGAGGAACAGAAGGGTTGGATGTAAGGATTGGAGGATGTGAAAGCTGTGGCCCATGCACTTTGACAGGCGTTGTCTGAAGGTAAAGTTAGAGAATTTTAGCGAGAGGGGAATTGTTGATGTGTGGGGGAAGAGGAGGCAATGCAAATTAAGGTAAGTGAAAAGATAGAAGATTGATATACGTACTTCCGCATTCTATACTAACGGTTGATGTAGAGTATGTTGTAGGGATAGGATCCGAAATTAGAAAAGGACGAAGTGTAGGACTTGGATCATTCCATGGTGGTGGAAGATTAGCAGCATGTATTTGAGCCGCAAGAAAAAGTGTGTAAACTAGCAGAGTAAATGTCGAAACTCGTGACATTTTGATAACAGGAATATTGGAAGATATTGGTGCACATCTTCTCGAATAGAGGATACATCGTGATACTTATACAGTACATGTACATACCGTGTATGTAAAGTGAAACGGTGGTGAAATTCCAGGTCATAAGACAGTCGTTGCCGCGGTTCTTCACGATGGCAGTAGTCATAACTCAATTCCTACGACAAGAATCTTCAAGCCCATCATCAATATTTCTCGATAAGGTATCAACATGATAGGTCAAATTGGCATACTGCTGTCCCATTACGATATTAGTGGAAGTCAGGAGAATTCCCACATTCTTCCATCAGCCTTGGCGGAAATGTCTTATACTTTTTTTTGCAGATTTCCCCTCACTATTATCGATAACGATGAAGAATGTATGACGAGTTACTTGAAACTTCTCAGATTTATCCATTTGGAGGTTTCAACTTTCAATCATGGGGACAAACGCGCACACAGATGCTGCCTTCACTCTTTTATCAAAGTCCATGAAGCATTGATCACTTCAAAATCTCTAAGATTCGATGATGAACTTGATCATATTAGGTCGTCAGAGGCTTCACACCTATTCTTCCCAATGGCAGAGGACTTGTAATAGCATCGCATCGCATAGTATAACATCGCATAAGATAGGAAAATAGGAAACAAGAATACCAAATTCAATAAACAGAATAGCAAACAATAAGATGATATATGAGATAAGAAGCAATGAGAATACTACCCTCACCTGAAACACAGATAAAAGAAAGTAAGAAAGTAGCAAGTAGCAAGTAAGATTGTAGCAAGCAAGTGATGCTTCGTCATGTCATTCTTTATTCTTAAATGGGTGAATCTCACTCATATTTTAGAGCTTTTCAAGGTAACTTTGAGATCTCGCGTTCTGAACCAGAATAAACTCTTCCTCCCCTCCTCATCTCGACCAGCCTCGAGTTTACCTTCCCCCATACTTCATTTCAATTTCATTTTAACTTTCATTTTCATATTTATTTTAAATTTTAAATCACACGCATCATACCCGCCATAACTCCCCTCGATTCTCCCCAGACCCTGTTCTCATTCCATTCCATTCCATTCTATGTCTTCTCGTCTCACCTCCCACCTCTTCCACCTCCCAACTCTTTCACCTCCGATCTCCCACACATTACAACCACCCCCTCTACCCCCCCAACCTCAAAATCAACATCAACATAAATTTCCACCCAAGTCCTCCTTACAGCACCGGTATACTTACTACCATAGCTCTTTTCCAACCTTATTCTCTCTCTCCCATAACTAAACTATACTCTTTATCAAAATCGACTACCAGTACCTACCAGTACCTACCAATACATTACCGGCATATCATTCCGCTTCAAATCCCCAAAACATGTTACTTGCCACGACATGCCATGCATGCATCATCATCATTCATCTATTTATCAAAATCCACTTATTAGCATCCACTAGACTCTTACTTACCTTACCTTACTTTTACTTACACGTATACTAGTACTCACATCAACACAAAAAAGATTTCCGATACCGATCTTCACTCGAAAAGAAGAATATATCAGTACTAGTAACCAGTAACTAGTAGCCAGTACCCAGTAACGATAGAGAAACAGCACAACACACCACAAACCGTGATCAAAGAATAGAGAATATAGAAATGAAATAACACAAGGATTGGTAAGTAGCGTATACTTACAGCACGACTCAAAAGCACATTCTCGACAGAGAGACTGGAGTAATACACGCGAAGTCTATGTATATATATACTGACTGTACCTGTATGAAAATGAAAGATAGTACAGGATATGACGCCACATCACGAGTATACTTTATACAGTAAATAGTAAGCGGAGTATTCCCACTGGCAAGGATATGGGAAGTGAATATAAGAAGATGATAAGATCTTTGAAGATATCTCTTAAAAGTACCCGAGTATTAATTTTTTTTTCCCACAGACTCTAGAGTAGATGTCCAATATTGTGATTGTGATTGTGATTGTGATATTGGGATATTGGGATATCCAAAAACGGGCTTCGGATCTAATCATGTAAAAGAGTTGCGTACCGGTATATTCGTTTTCCTTGTGTTCGTATATAATTGAGCGAGCTGATGAATATCGTATTGTATTGTGGTGTTGCAACTTGGGGGTATGAGTTAATAATGAAGATGTGGAATGTGAAATAGTGGGCGGTATAGAAGCAGAAGTTTGAGAGTACGACTAAGTATACATACAGTAAAGTACCGGGATAATATATATCCTTAGGTATGCTTGAGTCCAGCGCTGTACTTATTCGCACATATGAGAGCTTTTATAAGAAACTCATTCCCTCAAATCAAATCAAATCAAATCACATCCAGCATTCCAAAATTCAATTATCCAAGTGCCAAACTACATCTACATGTACTATAGCATTCAACCCACGAGCCCCCGAATCGGCAACGAAGATCCGCCATGCCTACTGTAGCCGTTATTGCTTCACACTGAACCCGATGGTGAAGATGTTAGGAATTGAGGGGATCATAGCTGTGTGGTAGTATCTCAACCGAATAGGAAAGGAAAGGAAAGGAAAACAACAATTCCCGATGTTAAAATAGGGATCAATATGGCAGATGCGATAAGGAGGCCTATATAGCTTTATCTCCGATTCTCAGACTATGAATTATAGAATATAAAAACTCTCCCCACCCCTACAACCTGAACCCTATCGCCGATCTTTGTAGATATGAGATATCTCTTTCCCGCCAAGAAAGACCGTTTGTGCAGATCCCTTAACGGAATACGCAGCCGATCATACAAAATATTTCCCCCATTACTCAGTTTAGCGGTAATAGATTGCCTGGCATAAAAACCTTGAGATATAACCGAGTACCGGTAATCAATTCGATATCGAGGGAAGATCGAAGGAGGATAAAAAGAGGACTCCGCCACCACTACTGTACCACTAGTCAAATGGTTCAGGCGACTTCCCGAGCGTTTCAAAGTGAGTACTAGTTATATCGGAAGGACTACTCATACCGGTACATCAAGCAAGAACCAACGACGAAAGAGAATTAAGAAAATAATTTGGCGGCCTGATGTTAAAGATATTGTTGTTCGTCATAATAGCCCCGCGCCTAGCGTAGCGTAGTATAGTATTCCTAGTACCGGTATTCTTGCACTGGTAAAAACTAACTCAAAACCCATAACAGCAATCCGTTGAATAAACCGTACTATAGTATCAGTACCGCCAGGATGAAATCCAACTTGAGCCTCAGCCTCATTCGGTGTCAAATAGCCTGTTGATTAAATTCATTGACCATTTAGCACTATGTGACAGTGAATCGAATCACATCAATTCGTGATCGTTTGTTTTAATAGGCGGTAACCTTATGATATGATCATGAGATAGTGCCATGGCAAATGAGGGGTGAAGATGGTGAAGGTGAGGGGTTCAAATGTTGGTGTTTCGATTATTGTGATTGTGGAGGGAGGATGGATGTTTTGTAATTGATATTGGTGGTGTTGGTTGAGGGAGGGGGTAAATGTAATGTAATGTGGTTAAGTGAGTATATGAGTAAGCAAGCAAACAAGCAAGCGCCGCCAATAATCTAATGGGTAATGATAAATAATGGATGGAATTGGAATTGGAATTGGAATGAGGGGTATGGGGATGAGTGAGGTATGAGGTATAAGGTATCAGGAGTGGAATACCGGTATGCCAAAGATCTTGAATTCTGGTCAAAGCGATATGCTGAATCAAGATTTCACATCCTGTCTCTATCTGAGAGGAGAGGAATTGGCAACAATACGTAGGCTACCATTTTGAGGAAGGAATGATGTGCGGAGGAAAACAAATAAGTATTGATATTATACATTAGAGGGATGACAATGCATGAAAGGCGTTTATACTACAGTAGGTGAACTACTAGGTAATGATGCATTGATAAACTGATTATCAGTACTGTATCTGTATGTCATATGTCACTGCTGAGGAAAATAACCCCTCATTCTCATTCTGGGTTTTGAGTTTGGTACTGGGACTGGCTTTGGGACTGCTGCTTTAATCATTTTGATTTTTTTAGAGCAAGTGTTGAAAAGTCTTGTTGAAAAGTCTTGGCATTGGTTAATACTCGGGAAGTCAGGAAGTCGGGAGTCAAGAGGTAGGTATATTCTCCATCCAGTATTGACAATTGTCTCTCTACATGACCTTTTCTCAATAAGGAAAGAAAAGAAAGTGTTGCGATGCGACTTCTCAAACCCAGAAAATGTATACAGTATATATACAGTATAAATAACACATTAATCCAAATTAATAACGCATGGAAGACAATTTATTAACTTACCTATGCGCCCCCCTCCTCTCCACCCGGCGCGACCGAGCGAGTGAGCGGACAGACCGATTGTAATCCCGAGGGCTACCGGCCGGTACTTTAGTGTATGTGGGTATTAGAGTAGAAGTGGTTGTTGTAATTTATGAAACTGTAACCTTGATTACGAAATCCATACTCGAGTAGATACAGTAAGGGGGTAAGCAAGCGAGCGAGCGAAAAACCTTGAAAGTACCGGTACTGTAGTATACCTATCTGGTAGTCTTTTCGACGGGGATTGGAGTATACCAGAGTATAAGGAGTATATTCTGCGGAAGAGAGTAATGATATGAGAATAAAGTCGTCTGATTTTATGATTGGTATTTTGCTGTATTCTTAGTTGATTTGTAACCGAAGTATGGGATTTCGGTGAAGGATGAAGAGTGAGGGGATGTTAGATGGTAAGAAGTACTGTACCAGTATAGTATAGGAATTTATACCTTTAAGTCTATCCATTAAAATATAGAGAAAACCCCAGGAATTGAACAAAGTATATTACACACACAATCCATAATTTAGAGAATCAAATATCTATATCAACCACATCACATCATATCATACAAATACATCCAACCTCCAACCTCCAACCTCCAGCCATCCAGCCATCCAGCCATCCATCCAACCTCCAGCCTCTAACGAAACTCAACAAACCAGCCCTAGAAAAGAGGGGAATACTCGTAGAAACAAAATCGATCCCCATACCATACCATACCATACCGACACAAAAACCCGATCAGCAAAGAATTATACTATCGATGGCACTTTTTTTTTATAAAACTTGGAGGGGGTCAAGAGGAGTGCTGGAATAGAGATCATGTAGGTAGGTATATGGATGTTGGATGGATGTTGAATTGTGTTTTCCGCCGTGGTGGTGGATGTGGGAAGCTGGAATGTATTTTTGTACGAGTATTGTGGGTGGGTTGTAACAACTTGGATTTGTACTCCGTAGATTGTGGATTGTGGATTGTGGATTGTGGCTTAGAAGGTGGAGGGGAATAACTGTACCTAGTGGGGGGAAAGGGAAGGGGAAGGGAAGCGGATAAATGCTATTCGAGTGTGACAGTGTGTACAGTACTCGTATATAGTATAGGAAAAAATGTTTGTGTTTGGAGATGAATGTGAACTTGTACCGTATGATAATTGATGATTGGTGATGGGCTTGGCAATACTGTCAAATAAATTGATGTGATGTGACGTTTGAAAGAACAAAGAAAATGATATACTGGGTAGGTATGATTCCATTTGATCTAATAAGTAAGTGCTTGGCTTGGGACAAACGAAATGTAACCAACCATCCAGCGCTTGTATCTTACAATGCAATGCCCACGTCAAGTCAAATTCATCAAAGGACCCATTCCAGCTGAATTGAAAAAGATAATGTACTTACTGAGTACGAGTATAAAAGTCTCATGAAACTCATCTGGAGATCTCCGAGGTATATATATATGTACTCGAGTACATCGAATGAAAGCTCATCATTCATATCATTTATATTAAAATAGCAACAACAGCTACGAAAGAAAGAAACCCACAACCGGGATTTACTAAGTACCGGAAAAGTCCGTAACAGCTGAAAAGAGTAATTCGTTAAACTTTACCGATGGAACGGAATGGGATTTCGGGACGTTTTCATCGGTTGAGATAACCAATACATACTAGGTAGGTAGTTACTACAAGAAACTCGAGTACCTAATATATGAATTTATGCGCAATGGATGATTAAACTTGATTCCAAGGGATATGTGATGGTGAAAGCGCCATGAGATATATGAATACTGGTATATGAGGAGAAGTTGTTCAAGCAAGCAAACAAGTATCGGTAATAATACTGTAATCAATCGAATTATTCAAGTAAAAAGGATGAGATGTTTATTATTGTTTACTCCATTATCTATCATCTATTCCATCCATCCATCATTATCATCCTTCCGTTGATTTCTTCCATTGATTCCTAATTCATTTCTTCCCCCTTATTGGATATCTCGTGAATTCAGTACCTGTACTGTGTATATATATTGTGACAGCAAACGACTGAATTACTTCATCCAAACCTTCGGCCTTATTCTTATTATTTCCAGCTTGGTCCGGCTGATATACATCACCCCTTCGAAAAGACTTCAACCCATCAACTCTTCATCGCCAGTATCTGATTGGTGGAGAGTACGCACGTGTTTTCAATCCCTATTCATCAAATATCGAAACGACTTACCTGTACGAGATACTTACTCCATTCTTGAAGGGGTAGGAGGTAGTTAGTACGAGGAAGCAAATGATCTACCTGCTATCTATTGTTTGCATAAGTGAGTAAGTAACATCAAGACAGAAGAACTTCTTTGATTGATACTGATACTCATACTCAAGCTTATGATTTATTAGATTTAGATCTTGATGACTTGTCTATAACTTGTCTATAATAACTCTTCAAGTACTACCATACCCATCGTACTACCTGAGTAACAATACACGCCGCTTTCCGATCCAATTACAATCACACACACAGCCTTCTTTGGAAGCGCTAAAAGAGCATGAACAAGCATATCAATCCACTCCACCAGAACAAAAAAAAAGCTTCAAATCAACACTTGGCGTAGGTACACACTACGAGTACAACAGATAATATTTGTATTGTACAACCCTTCTAAGCATCATTTCGAAGGTTATCTTCAAGGATATACCGGTATCCAGGAACCCTCCCCCGTCCCCCCCAAGAAATATTATTCTTTATACCAAACAAGGAACCATACCTAGGTAGCTTATTACAACAACTCCACTATCTCTACGCCTCACACCAGATAAATTTATCCTTTCACAACAACACCATAACCTTGACGTGCCTAACTAGGGTTATCATCCACCGGAATACACCTTGAATTGTACTAGATACTCACTTTCACCTATCACCTCCTACCCAACCTACCTACCTAGCTTCTTACCTTCTTACCTTCTTACCATCTTACCTACATAATAATACAGTAATCAACAAACTATCCTCCTCTCCGCCCAATACTTTTCCCGATAATAATCCCTCTCATCCTCCCTCCTCCCTCCTCCCTCACTTCACAAATTTAAACACGTCCTCTTGGTTTCCTCTACATCCTCTTACTTTGATCTCCTTTGCTCATTCAATTGAAACCATACAACAAACTTCTTCCCACTTTCTTTGTATTTGGTCTTGGTTGTGGGAAGAACAAATAATATTCAGAATCAACCGCACCGCAAACTCCCACCTAAGAAAAAATATAAAGTGGCTCCGAGAGCATAGTCTTTCCGCTCGGGACCCCAATTCTACGCCAGTTCCAATAATTACCTACGCATACCTACCCATCTCAAATTTTAAAGGTCTCGAATTGAGTTACTTCCTTTTTGGCTTCATAGGAAAAATATCCCTTGGGATTTAATAGCCTCGCAGAACGCTCTAGCTACTGCAGCTTACTTGGAATATCCTCATCTCGCCGGAACCTTTTCTTTCTTTGCGACCAACAAATTTGCCTCTTCTAGCTGATCCCTCCTCAACATTATCCCCGCAGTCTCCAGTTCTCACCCACCAATATGATGGCCGATGTTCCTCGAAGGAAACCAATGCCACCTGGTTTCCCGGCTTCTCCTTCTGCAATCTCTTACAACAATCATAGTCGAACTCGTACTACCTCTTCCAATACCTTCCCTGCCATCAATTACCCTCAACAGCCTCAACCACAAACACTCTACCCGGGAAATATGCAGATAGGCGGGTACTCAAGGAGAACTCCTTCGACGGGCACCTTTTCTACAACGGCGAGTAGTGGGAATGGTCCTCTGCCATATCGAGGGTCTCAAGATCTGAGACGATCCACATCTTCACGATCGGGAAATTTACAACCGCAAGGTTATGTGGCTCTGATGCGAAAACAAAAGGCGACGGTTTGGTGTGATCGATCGCAACATGAGGATCCTCGATTGTTAGCTCAACAAAAGGCTGCAAAGGAAAGAGCGGCAGCTGCAGTTCTTGGGGGACCTTTACAAGGAAGGATATCTACAGGTGGTACCAATAGTCTTGTTGGAAGTAATAGGGTTACGGCAAAGATAAGACATCATGGCAAAGCCGGATTGGTAGGATATAGTCCGGGAGATCTCGTTGGAGGTGTGGTTGGCGTCCCGATGAGATTAAGTGCGAGTGAAGTGGAAGGGGGAGATAGTGATGATGATGGGGATAGTGGAAGAGTTTTATACCATCGAAGAACGGGTAGTGGACGCAGTAGTGTTGGAAGTGGCAGAAGAGGTCTCACATATTCTCGACAATCCGGTGCAAGTTCGAATGCTGGCCGATGGAGCTCAGGTCATACACCGCCTAGTGAAAAGGAAAGACAAAATTCATTTGCGGACGTGGCAGAGGCTGGAGAGGCTGGGGAGACTCCTGTACCAATTGGGCATACGAGGGCTAAGGATTACTTCGACGCGGGCGATGGAACGAGAAGTACAGGAGGAAGCATTAGCAGTGGAGAACGAGCCGATGCTATCACGGATCTCAACTCGGGTGACGCGGCCAGATTAGCAAATAATAGCTTGCTCCAATCGAAAGTTACACGGGAAAAGAGCGTCAGGAATCCCGACGAATTAAGGAGAAGGGGAAGTGTTGATGAACGAACCACCACAATGACTCTAGGTGCTGGCCGACTATTCATCGCCAATCCAGATCATTCCGATAGTGATTAAAATAAGATGGAGGGGGAAAATTCATATGAGAATTGAACAAAAGTACGAGATACCAGAAAGAAACACATAGCCATTGGCGAATCTCGTAAGAGACCTGCGATTACGAAGAAGATACCTTTTTAAACGGTGGAATTCACATGACATGACATTACATTGAAAATCACATTACCTTGGGAGCAAGAGCAAGAGCAAATCAAGCGAATGCATTTGAACGGCGTAGCATAGGAGTATTATGGGATTACATGGCAATATCACTTTGGATTGGTTTATGGGTGTTAGGCATGGGTGTACCTTTGATGGCTGGTATACACTTTTATACATGGCTTTTTGGATTGGGCAGATGGGACAGCCATGCTTTTAATCATCCGCTGCATATTGCTTGAGTGTGGAATTGTTCGAACAGTCGTTCTTTTTTTTAGCGTTGCATTATTGTTTGGTGGACTCGATGGATGGGCATAGTATGGATGGATGGTAGGGTGGATTGGAATGGTCTTGGGGGGTGTGATGGGATGGGATGGGATGTGGCGCCTAGATGGCACATGCATGCAGACAGACATACATACTTATACTTAGGAGGAGATAATGGTATACACGATGATGAAGATAACAGACTGGCCTGGATTGGAGTGGAACTTTGAGTTTCAGATTGAAATGAATTGAATGGGTGTGAATATGGATGTAGAGTGAGATTTGTGCTTTGTGCTTATGCTTATGCTTGTGCTTGTGCTTATGATTTGATACTTGACTAAACAAACTCCCGAGTCCGGATTCTTTGATTGGGAAATATGGTAATGTGTGGATGTTTTGATGTGGAAGTGAATGCTAATGATCTAATTTCTATAAAGATATGAAGCTATGAAGATGATGGTGGGAGGGGAGCGGAGCGAAGCGAAGAAAAGTACAAGATATAGAAAATGAAATGGAAAAATGAAATGGAAAAATGAAATGGAAAAGAGAGAAGGGAGAGGGAGAGGGGAAAGGGGAGAAAGGAGGAGTATAACGATAGATATATCATCTATTGGTGAAATGTCAATAGGTACACATCAATTAGGGAGTAGGTAGGGAGAAGAAAGAAGCGGGATTCACTATTACACGTGGCTATGGCGATCGCTGTGGCTGTAGCATTGACGCGAAACAAAACCCACTTTAGGAAGACAGACGCGAATGAACTCGAGGAGTACAGTACGTACGGAGACGAGACGCGTTTCTTGAATTCAATTGTATTGACAACTCAATTGTATTGACAAATTTTAATATTTTCGATCAAAATTTGAAAGATAGATCTGGTTTCGATATTTGGATTCGATGATAGGGTCGATTGCGAAATACGAAATACGAAATACGATACGGAAGTCGATACGGAACGGAATACGATACGGAAGGAAGTTTTATTAGAGATTCGACACTCGAGGAGGCTGGGGATTGGAGTTTGTTTGTGTTCGGGGTGGTTATTGTGTTGTGTTGTGTCGACGAACGAACGAACAACGAATTGTGTTGTGAGGGGAGGGTGAAGGTGAAGGTGAGGGTCTTGACTGGATTGGATTGGATTGGAGGTGATAAGTTTGGTTCACTTCACTACGCTATACTACACTACACTACACTACACTACACTACACACTCCGCCGCGCTTCGCACACGACGCTCCGCTCCTTGAACGCGAACTGGACCAGAAACAATTATTATCCATCATGGCGACAACGCAAGAGTCAGCGAAACCAAGATCGCAGAAGAGGGATTTCGAGGAGTCTTTTGGACCGATTGAACCTGTTCATGTAGGGGAGCTTGAGAGAGCAGGTCTCGAAAATCGGAATTCGCAAGTCGAGTCGGATTCTCCGGTTCTTTCTAAGGAACGGAATTTTGTGAATGGAACTGGACGAGAGATTGAACGTACGGCGGATATTTTGTTGACTCCGCCTGTTGGTGTGGAATCTGCGAAATGTGAGGGCGAAGGTGAAGGTGGACGAGAAGGGGAACGGGAACGAGATGTTTCGCCGGCGGGCAGTACGGCTAGTTCTTTGAGTGATTTGGGATCGAGGAGTACGCCTAGTTTGAGAGGGGGCTCGCCGATGGTCGGTACGGCGTTCGCGGCGTTGAATGGGAATGGAGATGCGAGTAGGATGCCTCCGGCTAAGAAACCAAAATTGACGTTTGCGGAGAAGGAGGCGAGGAAGATTGAGAGAGAGTTTAGGGATGAGGAAAGAAAGAGGGAAAGGGAGAAAAGAGAGAATGAGAAGCAAGCGCAGTTAGAGGAGAAGAGGAAGAAGGATATGGAGAGGGATGAGGAGAAGAGGAAGAAAGATGCGGAGAAGGAAGAAGAGAAGAAAAAGAAAGATACGGAGAAAGAGGCTGAGAGGAAGAGAAAAGAGGATGAAAAGGCGGCTAAGGAAGAAAAGAAGAGATTGAAGGATGAAGAGAAACGCAAAAAGGATGAGGAGAAACAACGGATTGAGGACGAGAAGAAAAAGAAGGCAGCAAGTCAAAAGACTTTATCTTCTTTCTTTGGAACCCCAGCTTCGGCAAAGACCTCGAAAGACGACGTATCGACGAGTCCTGCTTCAGTCGGCTTGACCATGGCTGCACCTCCTACGACATCGCCACAATCGACTCCAAGTAAGAAAGAAATCTCACCATATGAGAAACTGTTTCCGGCTTTCTTCGTTCAGAATAGTGTTAGGTTAGCACCCATCAACCACTTCGAGAGAGATGATGAAGGATCACAAGCTTTACAATCTACAATCGATGCATACATTTTAGGCAACAGAAGTCCAGGACGAAGACGAGATTTTGATGCTATGCAACTCTTTCACCTCTCATCCAGCAATCCACTAAAGCGGGGAAACCCAATTGTAGCTCTACGAGAAATCATTGCAGAACTATCTGGCAATCCTTCAAAACTCATCGACCTCACAACCGACTCTCAAAATTCTCAAATAAAACGCACAAAAGCTCGATTGAGTGACGTCCCTATGAAATTTTTGAAGTTCCAAGAAGACGTTAGACCTCCATATCAAGGTACCTATACGCATACACCTATATACGGAATGTCGAAATTGGCACGAAATCCTATGAGACGCGATCTTCCAAACACAAATTACGACTACGATAGTGAGGCGGAATGGATTGAGGATGAAGATGCGGAAGATTTGAATAGTGAAGGAGAGGAAGATGAGGAGGGTGTTGATGATGCGGAGGATATGGATGGATTTCTTGATGATGAGAATGATGAGTTGTTAAACTCGAGACGTGCACTGGGAGGAATGCAAGGAGATTTAGAACCACTTAACACGGGCTTGTGTTGGGAGGATAGGAAGAAGAGGAATACGAATGTTAAGATGATGCCATATAGAATGGAGTTCATCATTGGTAAGTTGATGTTTTTCTGGCCTCCCTCGGAATTTTGGAATTCGATAGATCATTGGAAACTAACATGAAAAATAGATCCGAAAATGAAATCTATCGATCCCTTCTCAACACAATACTGGGAACCAATCGCACCATCCATCCCAACCGGAACAATGGATCCACCCCGTCTCCCACTCAACTCTACAAAATCAATCAACACACTTCAAACTTCCCCCTCTCCCTTACGCTCTACATCCCACAACAAAGTCTCGAATCATAAAACCGCCCCGCTTTCCTTTTTCGGTTCTTCTCCCTCGACAGCAACATCAACATCAACAACATCTCTTCCCCTACAACAACTACAACAACAACAACAACAACAACAACACACTAGCACAGATACCAAACCCAAGAAATATCTACCAGACTCAGATCTCCCAGCGTTCAAAGAAGCAATTCAAGGAAGTGATCTGAGTAAAGTGGGATTAGTAGAGGTCCTGAAGAAGAAATTTCCGGGGAGGACCGGAGGCGCGATTAAAGCGACATTGGATTTGGTGGCGAGGAGGGTGGGGGGGAAGGAGGCGGAGAAGAGGTGGGTTTTGGTTTGAATTTGAGTTTGAATCTGAGTTTGAGTTGTTGATTAGATAGTCTTTGGAGGTGGATGAGGAAATGAGTGGCAGATACAGAGACAAAGACAGAGACAGAGACATAGGCAAAGGCAAAGGTAGAACATAAGCTGGGTTAAGTGGAGTTTTGGGCGTTGTATGCTTTTGCATAGCATAGCATAGCATTACATTGAATAGCATTACATAGCATAGCTGTATGGTGGTTACTTGCTACTTGCTACTTGCTACTTGTGGATAGCAACTTGCGAATTGCGAAGGGTAGATTTTGGACTGGGATGGGATGGGATGAAATGGGTTAGAATGGGATGGAATGGAATGATGTAGAGGTACTTGATGGACTTTGGTCTTGGCTTGGCTCGGCTTGGCTTGGCTTTGATATCAGTGTGGACTGTGTGTGGATTGTGTGTATGATGTATACAGATACATCTCATGCGATATTAGTTGGAGTTAGAGTTGGAGAGGGAGAGGGAGTTGGAGAGGGAGAGGGAGTTGGAGAGGGAGAGGGAGTTGGAGAGGGAGAGGGAAGTAGATAGTGAGTGAGTGAGTGAATCAGTGAGTTAGTGAGTGGTGGATATAATAAATATGAATAGGAATGAGATTGAGAATGAGAATGAGTATGAGTATGAGTATATAGATGGATGTATATACATATGTGGTTGTAAATGTGGTTGTAGTTGTGAATATAAATGTAAATGTGAAGGTATATTTATGAGTAGATTAGCTAGTACTCGAGTAGAGGTAATCTCATTCTAATAATATAACAAGGAGCCAAAATATAATATAGTATAGTAGAGTAAGTAGTGTACGAGTAATAAATAGTAATTAATCGGGATGGATGTACTTGAGTATTGTTGATATCATGTCTTGCTCTGAAGACTGAAATAAATGTTAAATGGAGACTGAGGAAGAGGAGGAGTAGGTATAGCTGAAGGAAGATCTGGGTAATTCCGGTACCGGTATATTAAACAGTTGGCTGGAGTCACGATAAGTGAAGGATAGGTAGGGTTCTTGTTAATAACGATGATAACAATGATGGATGATGGTGCGGCCTTTTATTATCTGGACTGGTGGTATCATCGAGAGATATTGTTGCGGTTATAAGAATAAATATATCTTAGAGGAGGCGTAGGCGCAGGTATGAGTAGGGAAAATGCGGTCTGTAGGATATACTGTAACTGTATGAGTGGTACGGTAAGCTACTCTTCGCCACGGTATCTCATTGTCTTTTCCTGATAATTTCTTTTTCATTTATATCAATTGACTACACTCTATTTACACAATTTTTATTCCAGCTATTGCAAAATTAAAATCAATTAAAACAGCATATACTCACTCACCTCTTCAATTCCCATCCTAACTCATCTCATCACAACTTTCGCATCACTAAACCTCGCTCCACATCACTTCCCCACTTTTTCCAAAAGGATCCACCCATCCATCCTCCTCTTTCCCTCTACACTAACCAATCAAAAGTCAAAAGTGGCAATGACCAAATTTTAGGGTGTCTAGACCCGTGGGAAAATCCTTTTCAGGATTTAATGAGCAAGGTGAACCCTTCGAGATGGGGTCACATAGGTCGTATCAAACACCTCACCCACCCGAAGGTGGTTACAGCGCAGTGGTCGACCAACTGCACCAACGCGGCCGATGAGGTGTTTGATGGGGGACACGCGGAGTTTGGGGTATATATTGATGGAGAGGGGTATACTTCGGGATAGGGAGTCCCGGGAATAATGCTGGGAGGGGTACTAGGAGCTTTGGTTTGAGGGTCTTTATTTGATGGATGATTGGAATTATTTGTTTGTTATTATTACTTGCGATTGCTCAATTGAATTATTTTTTGATAATGTACATATATGGGAGCGATAGAACAGAGTGATCTTTTGTTAGGTTTGTAGTATGGTACTAAGGACATAAAAAAATACATATGGAGAATTGGTGATTCTGTACGAAAATATATTATCTATGTGAGGAAATAACTCTAAAGTAATTCTGTAAAAAGGAAATAATAAGGCCGTCAACTCATTTGTAGCGTTTGGTTTTCAATGAACCAGCATTGGTTTTCCCCTTCTTTTGACACGGTAATGATATATCGGTACTTGGACCTCCTGTCGTTATAATAGGACATTTCATCAATTCACATTCGGAATATTACTAATAAATACTACCAGCACCGCAACATACCTAACTCTTCTGTTAGTCTAGAACTTCTACTTCACCATGGAGAAAAGGCAAACTCACCCAGCAGCCGCGCCAAAAATCTCATGCCGTTTCGCCTGTGTAAAAAGCGACAATACCGCAGAAAATACAAGTGTGAAAACCAAAAGTACGCCAATACTAACTGTATACGTGAGATTGATATTATGATGTTCTGTAAGACGATAGAGAAGGAATACTGGGAGAATCAGAAGGATGAGTAGAACCAGGACGAGAAGGGTGGTGATGAATGTGTCTTTGCGGGATTTGCTAAAGTAGTGGAGGTTGGGGTCGTCGGTCTTGGCACGGTCTGCAGATGTGCAGAAGAGTGACTATAATTGATTGTTAGTTTGAAGGTAGTTAGTGGTGCGGAAAGAGTTTCCATGCCTCTAAAAATGCGCAATGAAAGACTTGGAGAAATTTCTCGGTCATGGTATCCAAAAATGCATCTTCTCTCCCCTCGCGTAATATTACTAGATCGTCTTTTTCGTATATGAAGCCTTGCTCTTCGTCAACGAGAGGTTTTCTGTCGAAGATGTATTGCTCGACACTTCGATAATCACTGTCAGTGGGACGATGCATGGCATTCAAAGCTTGTGATTTAAGTAGTAAATCATCTATTGTGTTGAATTAGTGAGTGTATGGTCAAATTTGGTGTTCTGAGAATACTCACCATAAGCAGACAACTTCTCCTCTATCTCATCCAAGATCATACTCCTTGTCCTTAAAGTTTGATCATCTGCAAGTTCTCTTTTTTCAAGAGCTATATCATGAACTCTAGACCTTGCACGAAGCTTATCCGGTGCGTCGGCTGCTTCATCAAGATCATCTAATTCATCAAGCTCTGCTTCGAGCCTTCGAATCTCATCTTGTTTACGAAGAAGCAGACGCGAATGAAGATATCCAAATCTTCGATGGATCTTGAAATTTTCATCGCTGTCGAGGAATACACTAAGTGATCGATAGCTTTTTTGATGTTCGGAAATTGAAGGGTTATGGTTAGTTAGTTGGCTTCCTCATGCAGTATTGAATTGCACAAACTTACGAGTTCTGACATGAGGCTTTCGTAGGTCGGAATCATTTGTAGGTTCCATTCGAGAATTTTGTGGACGGGATAGGCGAATTACAAGGGGGATTGAATAGTGGTAAAGTAGTCAAAGTCATTGTGTTAAGAATTACAAATGTAGAGTAAGTTGAGGCCTCCTGCTAGATGGAAGATTGTACAAGTAGTTATATCGATACTCATGGTAACAATTAATGCTAGCTGTTGAGGCTTTAATGTATTCTTACGATATGTGCCATCCGCTGCTCAACATACTGATTGATGTAGCGGCAAAGGCGGCAAGGGTGACAACGATGGCTGTGAATAACCAACTCGGCCTTCCTATATATTGCTATAACAGGCAGTCTACATATATAAGACCCTGTGCAAGTACAGCCCCCCCTTCCGTATCTAACCAATAAAATTGCACGATTCGCATCCCCGTGACAAGCTGCATTGCATAATCAAACTGGACTGAGCTGCTCCTGTTCAAACCATGCACCTTCCTTATACATTATCCCGCTTTTGGGGTCCTTCACCTGATACACAAACTTTCCATCCTCTTGCTTTCGCACAACAATCGCAAATTCGAAGTTCCCTTGTCTTGGAACACGTAACCAAGCATTGTTTCCGACATCGAACAATGCAATTGACTATTGCAGATGTGAGTCTCTTTTCACGGTAAAAAGGTATCAAGGATACATACATCTGAAGGGTTGTTGGATTCTTTGTAAAATGAGCGATCCTCGGGAGTCTTCGATCTCTTTTCAAGGTTCAGTATGAAGTTTCGTAAATCCTCCAATCAGAAACTGTGAACTTACAATGATTTCTGCAATGTCTAACAAGTCTTCTGACATTGTGCAAGGCGCACTGACACTGGTGGAAGTTCTTCGAGAATAGTGAGGCGGTGTAAATCCAATTATGAACAGTTCATTGAACTTCTGAAGAGAATTGAATTTGCCTCGGGGAAAGCCTGGTGGGAGGATGTTTAAATCAACCTGTCCATGGCCTTGAAGAGCCTCATTTGGTACAACCTCCAGTCATTGCATGTATTACAGGCGGCTGAATGCTTAAGGCGAGCTCATTCGGTAAGCATACTAGCACTGAGTGAGATCATATTAGCCAAAGAAACAGGTGTTACACAGTGGGGGCTTATCTTGAATTCCTCAGCCACCTTCTGCCTTATCAAAAGTATGCCTCGTCGTGAGTGCAACTGTTCGCACAATCACTTTGGAATTCTTATATAAATGGCGCGGTTAATAAGCTTGGCCCACCGTTCGTCGCCACACACTCAAACCAAATCCACTTTATTATACAAATCGATTTGATTGTACCTAACGTTCTGAAACGATCTCAACACCGAACTCATGGCCCCGTCCAATAAGACCACGTCGAAAGCTGTCCTGGATACTTCACAGGCCTCGGACTTCATTGCAAAAGATCAATACCAGGACTCCTGGGATTCCGAAATGAAGGCAGTCTGAGATGGAGGGATGAGCGCAAATAATGCGGCGGTCGCGTACGGAAAGGCGCATGTTCTTTTACTATCCTGGCATCCAGATGACGATGATCTTCATGTAGAACAAGAAGTAGTACATCTCGGAACTTCCCTCACGCTTGAGCTAATGCAGATCAGGTCAAAGAACTGGAAGATGTTTTCCAACAAACTTTCGGATACAAGACAACGCAAAAAATTCTGAAGCAAGATTCAGAGCAACACCCTCAAGTTCAGATAAACTTTTATCCCGCCGAGTTCGTCCGTGATTATGACGACCTAGATACCCTATTTATTGTGTACTATGCCGGGCACGGGAAACTTGGGGATGGAAGAAGTGGGTTGAATCTGACTGGGTAAGATGGACTGTGACGCTGACACGAGAAGAAACTTTTGCTAATAATAAGCAGAGCGACGACTTTCCAGTCAGATGAGGACAAAGAAATACACGAGATCATCTGGAACTCTGCAGAAAACAACATTCGGCATACTCGCAGTGATGTACTAGTCATTTTCGATTGCTGTAATGCGGGCGAAATGGCTCGTAATGTTCGTGGTTCGGATTTCACCCGCAGAGCGTTCGAATATATAGCTACAACATCACAAAATTCCACCACCAGGAAGCCAGGTCCACAATCCTTCACTTCCGCTCTAATCTGGGCATTAAAGAGATGATCAATTTGAAGCCTGGAAAAAAGATTCAGCACCACAGAACTGGTACGAATGACTTTCAATGCCCCAGATTTTCCGGACACTCAATCGCCAAGGCTGATAGAAGGAGGTCCGATTGGTAGCCTAAGGAAAATTGTGCTTGCGCCTTTGGGTGAACCATCGGCAATAGGAGCCACTGAGAGAAGAAATAGGGATAAGATGAATGAGACAAAGGATACTCTTAAAGTTCGGTTTATCTTCAACAAGCAAATCAACCAGAAACGAATCAAACATCTCTCGAAGGAACTGTCTATTTTTTTCAATCAAGGAGACTATGGGGTATCAACCGCTCTCTGGGAAGGCATAACCCCCAGTCCAGAGAAACGACTGCGCGATGTAGTCAACTATTGGCAGAGTCACGCCATGAGACGAAGTACGGCCCCGATGTCAAGTTTATATCATCATATAATCTCACCCATATCACCTATGGAACCCCCAGGATTATCGATGTCGTCGTGCGAAGGAAGTGTTTCCGGTATGACTGCCACGGACGACCGAGAACGTCCCAGTTTTGCACCGGAGATTGGGCCAGATGTTGGTGCGATCAGCTCAAGAGACAAAGATACTCATGCCCCAAAGAAGAGAAAACGAGTGGATGAGACGCTTTTTGAGCCGGATTCTATGAATCCAACTAGTGGTCTACTTTTTGAACCACGTGAGAAGAGACTGAAAAGACACCAATCTAGTAATCGAAGAACACATACAAATTGACGCGTTATTCTGTGACGAAAATACTCGAACTTTGGGGATCTAGTATGGTCCAAACACAAGGGATCAGGAAATTGGTTCGAAGTGTATTTTTTTTCACAAGTACTCTTCAGTCGTTATGTATATCGGGGATTATTAGGAATAGAATATCGCTTTATATTACCACGGAATTCATCTGATAGACTTCTACTCAAAAGCTCCCTCCTCAAATTGCTTCACTCCATCCACCATCTTCAACCATTCCACTCTTCCCTTCGTAAACTGTTCTCTCCCAGGCCTCAATCTCGTCTCATGCAAATGAAAATCATCCACAGTACCAATCCTCAAGATATTTTCTCTCGGAAACCCTGAACTGACGCGATACATGAGTGTGCCGCACGTTCCACAGAAATGATTTGCCATGGTATTTCCTGATGCGATGGTGTGGGATTGACTGAAGACTTTCAGATTTTCGCGGCCACGAAGGTGCTTCAGATGTGTATCGGCGATGGTGAAATTAGATGCGAACATTGAGGCGGTAATCTTGCGACAGTCGTGACAGTGGCAAAGGAAGGTATTGATTAGGCCGGGGCCTTGGGTTGGCTGAGGAACAGTGTCAGAATAAGTAAGTGGGATTAATAATAAAAATGGGGTGAAGTAAGGATGTACGGGACTAGATAATTTGGGCACTGTGTGGGGTTTGATGGTGGAGTCAAACTTACGAAGGCTAGTTGGACAGCACCACAGAAGCAAGTAGCTGTCGCTTCATCTTTCGTGGACCAGCTATCGCTGGCGGAGCCAGCAAGAGGGAAGTAAGGCTTGGATTTATCGGTAGCGGTCACATCGGCCATTATTGTTCGTTTTGCGAGATCGTAACCTTGTTGTGACTTTTGGGCTGCTTGAGTATGGAAGGCAGATGCAGTACTAGATATGAAGCTTCTAAGGTAAAGGTCTGGCTTGTATAGATGGTCTTATCCGTCGAGTGGGGTAGGTAGATCGCTTGATACTTAGTAATGGTCCGTGCATTCACGTTCGCCTAGATTATTAAGCTTAGTTTCTCGCTACCATAATAGGAGATTGACATTACCGCATTGAGACAATGCGACCGAATCTGGTCATAAGAGCATCATAATCACGACACCTGAGAATCGGTAAATTAGTAAGGAAGATAGTGTTGCTGGAACAGGAATGAATAAATACTTGATCAAGAACATTGCTAAGGAAGCCATGAAACAAGAAAGAGATCCTTGGTGAATCGTGCATGATTACATAATCTCTCCGCATTCAGTTCACAAGCTGTATAATAATTGATTCATGGGTTTGTACTATTCCTTTTGCGTAAAACAAAATCCTTGTGGTAAAACGACAGGTAAGGCTTGGATATCGATCGGTTACACCAAAATGATCTACAGAATCCGAAGACCTACCGTCACACCGACTGCATTGTAAGTTACAAACGTGTAAAAAGCTCCAGGCAAAAGAAAACAAGGTCTAAATCTACCAAAGCCATAAAAAGGCAAACGTATTAGGCACCACTTGGGCCCTAAAGTACTATCAAAAATGGCTCACTCCCGTCTACTGTAGCATTCGATCGAATGTATTCTTATGTGTTTGTTCAATCCTAGACAACCTCATAGGCATCTATGGCAACATCAAGTCAACCATTTCAAAGCATACATATCCTGAAGTATATGATCAACATAGCCCCTCAATTAGATACCACCGCAGGGCATAATGTGCAAGATTTCATCTATTGTATTACAATCGGCTGGCTGTTTGCTTCTCCAAATCGGACAACTTGCACATAATTGGACAATGTGGACGTATAGACTTTGCAATATGTCCCGAAACGGTATACCTTGCAACAACAGAGAAGAGATCAATGTGCTAGGAGACGATTACGGATCTCGGGCAGGCTCTTGTCGCGTTTGTGATATTAAATACAGAGCAGCTTCTAAATACGAGGCAGCGGTTGCCGCCGCTGAAAGCCAGTTTACTGCAATTGTCAATGCTGCTTGGAGTAAGAAGATTGAGGAGGAAGAAAGAGCCAGCTATGTTATAGATACAGTAAGACGAGATTGGCGGATTATGTGTGTTTGGTATCTACTAATTCGATGTTCAAAATAGATCCCATCTATCGATAGACAAAAGCGGCCTCGTCGCCACAGCTATCACAGATATCACCATCACCGCGACTATTAAGAAGTGTTGCACGAATGAGGTTATAGTTGTATCTTTGATAAGTGGTTCTTGTTGGATTCGTTGTATGCAGATTTGTCCAATGGGATTCGGCGTTCATGGGTATGGAAGGCGAAGGGATGGATATGGCTCAAGGCTTGGCAAATTCATGGAAGTTGGACTGGCATAGGGGTATTGGCGCCCAATTTTCATGTAACACACCTTGAGTGTGTAGAGACTTCGACCCTGTCGCAATACCCATCATCCACTTGTCTTTGAGATATGTGCCATCGACCGGTGATCGAAGCGGTTGTCGCCTAGTCATGCTAAGGCGTTCCATAACGATGCCGCATCCCCAAAGAACCTCAAAGAACCGTACAATCTTGGGCGAGTATCCCTTGGTATTCAGTTTCTGATGTATCTCGACTTCTCTTTCGTAATCTCGCTCATGCTTCGGCCCACTGGCAATTGGCTTCACAGCAAGCTCCTCATTAACTGCCAGCACGATAGCGAAGACTCCAGCTTCAATCAATTCTGCTTCGTAGCCATTAAAATACTTTAACCATGATGCATACAATTGTCGCCTACGCTTGCGGGCACGTACGGATTCCTGCACCGCTGTGAAAGACTTAAAGCTTCATCATGGTCTAGCGTAGTGGCGCAAAAGCAGCGCCTCATACGAATGTGCGTAAGATTTCTTTGATCTGCTCATTAAATAATCGCTGTTCTGGCTGGTTGAATGTCGTGAAAATTGATGAGAATTGATGGGAGTATAGCGATAGCGGAGTGTTTACGATGCGAAGGACGGACATTTAGAGGTCGTTTACTGCTTAGTCATCATACCAATAGCCAAGCTTATGTTGTCGCCAACAATCATCCATCTCAATCTCAAGTTCGATAATCCTTTTCAAGTATTTCTATACTCCAAATGACAATCAAGGCTGTACCATGCTGTCGTCGTGTACAATGAGCCCAATTTAGCCATGATACCCTTTGAAAATATCCCACGCAACTCGTCTTCAAGATTTCAACTATCTCCTGGCTCATTTGTTTTTATGATTTGGCCACATGCCTCTTCGTCGATATATGAATGAATAATAATTACATTGACTCCGCGAACTTATCTTCTGTTTGATTTGCCCCCACTCAATTGCTTTAGTTTGTCTGAAATCGAGTTGAACGTGACATCTGTTTCTTTTTCTGGCAGCTGTCCTTGTCTCATACATTTTGATGTATTCAATCATCCTTGGCAACTAAAGATCGTTTGTGCACTTGAATAGTCAAAGTTTTGATCTAAAGCTTCTTCATTGTTAGAGCATTAAGTAGTGCCCCCTTACTTGATGATTATTTGAAGTGCCATCTCCTCCTCACTTGGGACCTTAAGCTCCTGTGCTTCCATTCTTGTTTCAGATAGAGGGATGTCATGAAAGTATCATGCATTTTAAAATTGATTGAAAAAGCAATGTTTCCATTGTAGTATGGATCCAAATCATTCAAGAGTTCTCAGATATTTGTTATGCTTTTTAATGAGTGATTGTTCTGTCGATAGAGACAAAGTACATTTCCCAACAAATACATGATTGGATCTTCAAAATAATGAATTTATCCCTCAGGAAAGCTTCCTAATCCTTAAATGTGTATTTTTATCTTTAATGGCGAATCCACAGAATGGTGCTGAGCCAAAACTATCTTCTTAAGTGACTTCCCACACAAGTAAAAGCCATGATATATCCAAAAAACGCAATGATGAAGTAGCTATATTTCAAAATCAAATTCTCTCTCACCAAACATCCTGATAGGAGAGCAATGGAGTATTTGTTTACCAAGGAAGTATGCGAGTTTTAAGACAGATGTAGGGTACGGCCAATACTAGCATGGGATATTAATTGACGTTGTTCCGGGTTATGGATTTGACCACTAATTTCCATAAATAATGCTGTCATATCAGATCTTTCAATCACAGCCTAACGGCTCTCATCTTAGTATACATGAATCATGATACAAACTCTTAACAAAACATCATATTAGATCACTCCGCCGGGTAGATACAGAGATAAAACAGCTATACAGAGAATTGAGACGGCCAATTGTGAAAACGCAAAGTCTGCGATTCATCTTAGGTGAATATTATGAGAATGTGTTGGATCCAGAGATGTTTGAATGTAGGAATACTCGACGAGAAATCGGACGATATATCATGATTGGCCACCTGGTTCTACTCCCAACATTCACTTCTTTTGTCAACTGCATCTCATTCCATAATTCTGCGTCAACCTTCTACAGATTGCAAAATCGATTCACTATCGCATCATTAGCTCATTGACTCAATAGCTATTCAAGAACCGAGGCGCAGCCGGCACCACTTTGTGAATCTCATACTCATCCAAGCTCTCGATTATAAAGTCTTCTTACACACCTCCATCCTCCATATTTTGACACAACAACAAACAAGATCGATACCAAATTGTCTCTCTCCATCTCATATCTTCGCTGCACATTCATCGACGACATCACCAAAATCACAATGGCCGAGCTACCTGATCAATTTCCTGTTCCTCCTTCAGCTGTCGAAGCTATATCTGCCATTATCGATGAATTCATCGACAAATTACAACTTATTTGGGCTGCAAATGCTGCAAATAGAGTTGGTAAGTCACGTCCTTTCATCCACGATCTATCCTTTTCCGTATGCACTTCGAGTCGCTCTTTCTTACACTACGTTTTACCCCCTCGCTTAAATAACATCATCAAGTCCTTAGACCTGGATCACGTCTTGCCCGTGAGATAGAGCTCGCTCTCATTCGCGTCATCGGCGCAACTGTTGCCCCCGAGGCAGTTTTTAATAGGATTGGCGTCGAATTAAACCGCTTCGTCCATCAAGTCAATCGGGATGTCAATCCCCTATTTCACGACATCTTGCTCTGTTGTCACCATCTAATGGAGGGATGGAATAACCAAGGAATATGGGACAATATTCAGCCGATCGAAGAGAGTACTCGGGATGTAGAAGACTTGGAGGAGAGAAGACGGTTTAGAGCATCTGGTATGTATACTTATAAGTCTTTTGTTTCTCCTATTCGAACTATAGTTACTAATGCCCTCTCAGGGCCACCGACACTAGGGGATCTCCAAATCATAAAACGGATGGAACGCACGATGGTTGTCGATCATCAATTGAGAATTTGTATCGACGCACATATTCAAAGACTGGAGCATACCATTGCCAACTTTCAAGCTGCGGATGATGACAATAATGATATGAGAGGTGATGATGATTGAACGATTGATGATGATGTTGAAATGGGAGATTAAAACTTAGACAATGCAGCCTGATACTAGTCAGATGGTTATTTGTGGATTTGGAGTACAGCGAGGGGCTTTGGATATTGAATTCTGATATTATCAGATAGGACTTCGTCACACTTAAATATAAAATGTATATATTGATTGACATGATGCTGATATTGTTTGGGTGATCTTCTATCGTTTCTGAATTTGAAACATGCCTTGAGCAAGAGTCTGATGTTTATGAAGTGATATGACCTCGATCTTGGAATTACAGATATAATTTATGTCGTATGAGGCTAACATCCACCAGATGTTGTGTTCTTGGTCTAGGAGGTGGAAACAAACTTTCATCTCTACATGGCTGATATCGATGAAGGAATAAATTCTTATATATTTGGGTGTCACAAGGCTGATATGTATCAAGTAAAACATTTCATAGCCAACTAAAGAAGAATGATATAGGCTTATTATATTCATTACATTTCTAACTTCCTATTCATTCTCCAGTTGCCTTCATATACTTCAATTACTTTTTACGCTTATTATTCGTATTCTGTACTCGAGTAGGATGCAGACATAAATCAACGACCAAATTATAACAATCTGGAAGAGAATTGGATCCCACAATTCAAAAACAACGATCAACTCCTGCTCCAGCTTCGCCTCCACCCACCTGTATCTCAAAATCGATGGGTGCTTCCTTTAAGATGGCAACGTGAAGCCTCGAAATCCGATGATGATAGACCATTAGTGGCGGTAAAAACGTGTGGACCACGAATGGCACGTATTCCAGAAGTACCACCTGCATTGATGGATGTTTATGATGCCAATTCTCCTCCAGTTCATACATTTGGACTAATGGACAGATCCTATTCGTCTAATATTCACCAGGCGACACTTTCTCCTTTGAGAATTGCGTTTAGATTCTAGACTACAGTATACTGTAATCATTTAGCCAACAATCTTATATTTGAGATGTGAATGCAGCCAGACATTAGACACCACAATGGTAAAGGTTTCCGGATGGCAGTCCTTTAATCTAAGATACCAGAACAGGTATCTGTCTCGGTCAAATACTTGAATGATAGTTGATTGAGAGTAGCTCCTTACCTTACTCTCAAGAGATATCAGGACTGGCACGCGCTGGACTGATCAACTTTGATTTTTGTTGAGTAGTATTACTTGAATCTGCTACAATAACATTCGAGTAGACTAGTCATTGGTCATTATGATGTTGACGTTTCCTAGCTTAAGATAGCACTTCTTCAATACATGATTATAGAGTGAACATTAATTTTAGTAACATTGATTTGATGTAACAATAGGTTCTTAATTTCCCGTGTCAAATCATACATTTTCTGTAAAATTCTTCGATGATAATCTTACCTACTTAGTGATGTCTTACATTTTTGACGTCAGACCGAGCGCCAGTTGCTATTGTATTGATGTTCACTAGATTGTATTCTCTCGTTTTAGAGAATTAGTTTGTGCAATAGAGTGTACTGAGTAAAGAGCCAATGTTTCCAAAAGCAATTTATCCAAAGAAGATACAGTAATAGACATTAAGTTATGAGGGCTACTAAAACAAAATTAAAAACTCCAAAGAGTTGAGCGATGGTATGATGATCCGGAAGCCTACTACAAACAAAACATCAACGATGATGCTAAAGACTACGTGCGCTAAAGTTGGTCCCTATAACCAGCGCACACAACTCTCTGTTCGACCAGCCAAACTCAACAAAAAGCGTAGATCCGCTTCCATCTCTCTTTTTTTACAAGTATTCGTAGCTTCGTATAACATTGACTAGCTCCTTAATGGATGCGACTGTTAATTTCCCACCCGTATCCGAAAGTAATCCCTTATTAACGTATAATTTCGGAAATCTCTATTTTCAAATCGTATGATTAATTCGCCGGTATTATAAAATTGAAATCTATCTAGACCACTAGAAATACATTGAAACAAAGATAGGGGTTGTCAAAAGTAGAACTATAATTAAACTATAGAAAGAATGAAACTGACTACTATCAGCGTAGAAAACCCAGTGCTTGCAATAAGCACACACCGGTAAAACTCTATCCCATTTTCTCTCAGACTCCACACCAGTGAAAACAGATTACTCGAGTATAAGGACGCAAAGTCACTGAAAACCGGCGTGGAGATACTTTCTACTGTAACACTATCATGCGACGTATTTCCTTTGAATGAAATCTATGCATTGGGTTCGGTTCACCAGCTTCCCTACTTGGGAGTCACACAATCACTGCTAACTATCAGTCTTGCAAATTGAGCCAATCGACTAATCAAGGATTTTGGGGCTAGGCATTTGTCTACACTCCTCGAGTGGCTCAAATAACTTATTTCTATACAAGATAACAAGGATGGAATAGAATGTAAAGCACATGGTTGATGATATTTGGATTTCTGTGCTACTATTTCCGCTCCTGTCAGGGAGGTGCTCCAGTGCTATCCTGCGTCACCGGCTGGGAGCTAACTTCCTCACCAATAGCGGTTCGATACCGTATGCTTTGTCACTGACCGTAGCCGGTATAATGTCGACGAAGCTCATTTCGAGCATGAATGCTCTGTAATTCAGGCTTGGCAGCAAATAATAATCGCTGTATAATTTATTTCTTGTAATCCCCAATCCTTCATTTCTGCGCCGATCCACCAATCCCCAAATTTTTCACCGCATCTTCCAACTTTCCCTCTCCCTCCTCAACCTGCACTACCTCCATACTCTCATCTTCTGCTCCGCCCTCTCCCGCATTATCCCCCGCAATACCCTCTTCTAATCCCTCCCCTCCTTCTTTCAATACCCAATCCACAACCTCCGTCTTATCCGCCAACTCGGCCTCATATACTGCATCATGACCTTTCTGGTTTTGTATCGTTGGATCCGCCCCATTTTCTATTAAAATCTTTACGCATTCTAAATGCCCATTTAATGCTGCCCAATGTAAGGGTGTGTTTCCGGAGGCGTTTTGTGTATTGAGTATTGCGAGCATCTGAGGATTCTGGGGTGAGGGGTGTGATAGTTGTTTTGTGAGGAGGGTAAGAAGTTCTGTTTTGAGTTGTTAGATTTCTTTCCTACAATCGCGTGGAGCTGAGGTATGGAGCAGGTCGAGAACAGGTGAGGGGTAATTACCGTGATGTCCGTTGGCGACAGACATATGCAGCACACCATTTCCAGTTTCGCCATCTCTCGCCGTTTCCAACAATTGGGTCGTCGAACACCCCTCCCTTTTACATAACTCTTCTCTCAAAGTCTCGAATTCATCTTTATCCCCAACACGAGCCAAGTATATCAAATCGTTAATTTCGTCTTCTGAGAATTTTGGAGCCATTTTGGCAAGTATTTTTGATCGTAACTTTCCTTTGACAGTAGCAACAGATTTTCGTTTCGATTCTGGAGCGTTTTTGTTCCGAAGGCTATCAAGTAAACTTTTACAAAAGATGATGAGGGGTCAATTCAAGCGGCCGCATAGAAAATAATTTCTGATATGGGGTCGGTCAAAGGTTTATCCGATGAATCTGGGGCGCTTATCGCGCCTTATCATCATCCCTGTCCGCAACTTCTAATTTTTACACGTGCCAGCCCCTGATACGTACCCTGAATGTACATTTACAGCAGTGTTGATTCACTCATCCTTCATTTAGTCTTAATTTCATTTCCTGTTCATTTTCATTCCTTTTGCATCTTCTCTTCTCATCTGTTCATCTTCTCGATATCGATCGAATATTATACAATAACAACAATACATCTCAAGAAAATAATAAATAACCAAAATGCCCAGACCTTCCCTCGACTTCGACGCTCGCGCTGCAAGCGAGCCGCTTCTCCGCACTACCAACGCTGCACGCAGACATTTGACCGGTTTCTGGGATGGATTTGTCGATTTTGCTTTTAATGATAATGTGTTGCATGTTGCTATTGGTTTGATGTACGTATATTATATCTCATTATCCCAATCCACCACATTCATTCTTCCGGCCTGCAGCCTATTTAAAATTTACACGTGACCCGCTTCCTCGAATACATTGAAACAGTGCAAGAACTCACAAAATTATAGCATAGCACAATCTTTCACAGCGCTAATAACATCCCTCGTCTCATGTGTTCTACTGCCACCGCTCTCTCTCTTGCCCTTCCTCAACAAGAATCTAGATGAGAAATTTGCGGTTCTACGACCCGGTCCTCACTATGGCGGTGTTCTTCATAACCATACTGAGATTGGTGATGGAGTCGGTGAGGGACTGGAAGGAAACGGAACTGTGATTATGCGGATGGGTATGGAATTTTTGTATGGTGCGGGGTATAATACGCTTAAACAGGCTTTGGATGATGGGGCTATTGTTTTGGCTTGGGGGTGCGTTTTCTATTCTTCACTTCCCTAAATTCCTGTTTTTTACACTGCACCCCCTTTCTCCTTTCCTCCGACTACTCATTTCCCCCCAACGTCTTTCTGGGGACCCTCCTCAGTCCTACTCACAGACTAATCTTATACCGCCTTCAGCTCCTTCCTGAACAACGTGATAAACTTCATAGGCGTTGGACTCTCCCTCTACGGTATAGCCGGTCTTTACCAGTATTTCAGTCAAGATAATGCTATCATTAAGCACACTGTCCGCTGTAAATATTGCCGCAAGAAGATTTTCGAGAAGGTATATTTTAGTTTCCAATATTCTCCTGTTCTTCCTTCCCCTTTTCCTTAATTCCTTTTCCTCCTTCCCCCTCCTCATTTTCCATCCACCTCTTTCCTCTCCCATCTCCATCCCCTTCCCCTCCCATCCTCTTCCTCTTTCCCTCCCTTCCCCTCCCATTCCCCTCCCATTCTATCCCTTCCTCTTCCCCAAAACCACACCCCCATTCAACTCAAAACTAACACCCCACCCCAACCCCAGGCCCAAAGATGCGTATTCTGTACCTCCTGGCAAGACGGCCGCGAAGACCTTCGCTCAGATCTTCGAACTACACCCATTTGCCTTTGAAATTGATACCCGAGATTATGACTCATTAGAGTAGAGCAGAGTAGAGTAGAATAGAGTAGAGTACTCATAGAACCGAGGCGAGGTGTTGTGAATAAATGGTTTTTGTGCATTTTCCTTTTATTATTCATACATATGAGATGAGATGGTTATTTAGTTATTCAGCGAGATGTTCCGGGTTAAGGGAGAAATTTTGTTTTTGGGTACCGGTAGATTTCAAATTTAGGGATGTTCGTAGCGAGGAGTTTTAGGGGTTTGGGTTTCTTCTTGGAAGATTGATGGATTGAAGGATTGTAATATCCGCATCTCAGAATAGATATTCAAATAAAATACCATGTATCTTCAGATCACAACACATATACATTTACTCAATCATATCACATCATATGACCAGCCCGTCATTCTACATCTGAAATCTTGCTCTCCCCTCTTCCATATACATCTCCTCTCCCTTTTTGTTCCCACAACAACATCTACAACTCGGTCTTTCCACCCTCCACAAATTCCACCTCGAAATCCTCCCCAATAGCAACCTTTGGCGCTCTAACCAAGGCCCACGCTGCCTTTTTGCCCTCTTCCGCATGATATGTGATCTCGGCTGTGCTATCCCCAACCTTCACACTGTTCAAATCCTTCCACGCTTTAGGAGCACCAACAACAATGATCTTCTCCACGACGACATTCTTCATACTCTTCAAGTATTTACTGGTCAACTTTCCGTTCGTTCCAATATTCTTACTGGATAGCTTTCCATTTTCGAAGGAGAATGAACGTTGGATGTAGGCACCAGATTTATAATCAAATGTCTCACCATCGTCGACATAAAGTTCACCTTGAGCTTTTCCATTCTTGTCAAGTGCGAGGACGAGGGTGTAAGGATCCCATTTCATGAGTCCAGAACTTCTGCGAGGACGATCTTTGCGAGGAATAATGTGGCCGCCTTGCATGAGAAGTGGAATTTTCTCAAGAGGGGCGGCGATGGTTGTTTTTCCAGAGCCGGTATGGATAGAATAGTCGAAGTAGTCATAGTAGACTTCATTATCTGGGAGATAGATCTCGACGCTCTCGGCACCTTCTGCCACGACAGGTTTAGCGAGAAGACCTGTGCTACCAACGAAAAATTGATCGTCGATGGCGAATCCGGATTCATCTTCGGGATATTCAAAGTAATGGGGTCTAATAATAGGAGTTCCGTCGGTACTGGCTTCGTGGAAAGCGGTGTACCAGGCTGGAAGAAGGGCGTAACGGAGGCGGAGAGCTTGGGTAATGATACCTGTGTACGGCTCACCTGCAAGATATGGTTCACGTCTTCTGGTATCGATGTGTGCGTGTCCACGAAAGAAGGGGTAGAAAGCACCGGCTTGGTACCAACGTGTGAGAAGATCTTTTTCAGGGTTACCGAAGAACCCACCAACATCTGCACCAGCGAATGGGAAACCTGCGATACCATTGTTAAGAATCATAGGAAATGCAGCTGCGAGATGATCCCAATTGGCCTGGTTATCACCAGTCCACATGGCGCCAAGACGTTGACTTCCGGCATAGAAAGAACGAGTGAGGACGAATGGACGACGTAGTTCTCCCTTCTTTCGCTCGACCATTGCTTCGTAGGTTGCATTGTGGAAGGTCATACCATTGATGTTATGGACATCACGATGCTCCCAGTTTCCGTGATGCAAGTTATCTTTTGGCATAGTTGTTTCGGGTCCGTTAAAGACGGATGGCTCGTTCATATCATTCCAAATGAATAGGTTAGATGTCTTCCAAGCATCCTTGGTGAAAAGTGTTTTCCACCACTTGTTTGCAGCAGGATTAAATGTATCAATCCAATGGGAAGAACCTGGCCAACACCAACCTTCATAAATACTGCCCTCCTTGTTATGAACCGCCAAATCTTGACCCTTTAATTCATCAACAACGTGATAATTGTCCTCGTTCTTGATGTGAGGGTCAATAATTGCAACAAGCTTTCGGTCAGATTTATCTAAGTGGGACAGCATTTCAACATGATTTCCAAAAGTATGAGGATCCCACGTGAAATATTTCTTCCCATCAGTATACTCAATGTCGAGCCAGATAACATCATATGGGATTTGGAATTTGTCCATCTTTCGATCCACGTCTTTAACATCCTCATCTGTAACATAGTTCCATCGGCATTGGTGGTAGGCAATTGAGAATTCTTGAGGAAGCTGTGTGTAACCTGTAAGTTCTCCATATGCTTTAGTAACATCTTTTGGTGTTGGTCCAAGGAAGACAAAGACATCGAGTAATCCACTCTCCGAGAACCAATGGGTCTTAGTATCAGTTTTTCCACTTAATGGATTGATAGATGCCTTTTCCTTGATGATATCAATCCAGGTTTCGGCTGCGTTCAACCAAAAGATACCAACAGTTGATGCTGCCCGATGTGCTTGCATGAAAGGAATAGCTCCATACAAAGTCATCTCACTATCCATGATATACTCAAAAACATCGGCGTTGTATAGACGATAAGGATCATTGTGATTACCCTCTCCACCTCGGGTCTGCTTCAATGACAATGGTCCAGAATGCTCTGGGATACCAAAGACATGTTCATATCCGGGGAAGGTAATGTCGAGAGCAACACTTTCAGGGCCTCGAGGCTTTGAATCGGTATTACCACCAAAAGATTCATCCCACCAAGTCCCCTCATCATCACCAGTTTGGACCTCGGTTGATTCTTCTTCTTCTTCTTCTCCTTCTTTCTTTTCTGGCTTTTCTGGCTTTTCAATCTTTGGTCTCCAGTGTTCTACATTCATCAATCCCCGATCGTTGAACTTGATCTGTGTCTCATCGTCTCTCTTGAAATCGATTGCAAATGGAGCATGTGTGACTTCCGCCTTGAACTTGCCCTCCGGACCATATGTGATATGCGAGACTCCAGGATATATCTTATGTTCTGCATCCTTACTCAGGGCTAAGCCTCCAACGATAGCCCAATTTGCAGCCTCATTATAACGTTCCTTTCTAGCTTTACTATCATGTCTCAATTCGATGTCACCCGTTTGACGTTTCTCCTCATCAATCGTAACCCTCGCAGATCCAGACTCGAGGAAAGAAATAGTAATCGGTAACCTGACCGACTCTCCACCATCTAATTTCTTGAGGATCGTTCCTTGTAGTTGGCCATCCTTCCAGGTCAATGCTTCTGAACTCAATCGATAAGGAGCTTGCAAGCTCCAGTTGTCTCCTACTGCTGTTGCATGATCCGCGTATGCTCGATTTCGTTTACAGAATCCGGATTGATCGCATGTTTTGAAATTCTCATGTTTAACAGTTACTATTCGCGATGTTAGTAAGTCCCCCCAGAGATCTGACTGTTCATGAAGTACTCACCAGCTGGTGTAATTAAGCTGCCAAATGTTGACAACAGAACTAAATATCCTGTCCATTTTGAGGACAGGTTTAAGGATGACCGCATAATTGAAAAGACATGCAATATCTATCAATTGTGTTCGATTCAAAATAAACACAAAAAGTAAATACTATGACAAATTTTGCTGTACAACAGAACAATATGAAGAATGGAAGTCTGGGGGTTGAGTTCCCTAGCTGTCCTATTCTACCTCACCAATGACGAGCTCTCAAGCCCCCCTCCTCCCCCCCCCTGTTATCCTTGGCGGTGAAATACTTTTAGCCTCAATATTAAGGTTCTAATTCTAAATATGAAGATCCCTCTCAAGTTTCAGCCCCTCTTCTCGCGGAAACCAAGCCACCCCACCTAGAAGAACCCCACTAACAACACACCTAAACCCTAAAAATTTAAAATATGAGCGAAGCCCCAGAATCTATTTTGAAGCACGTCAATCCTAAAACTCAAGCATTCTTAAGAGCATCAGCAAAACACAGAGAAGAATCTGCCAGACTCAACAACGATACCATGTCTACCGAACAAACGTAAGTTCTTCCTCTATTCATTCTTGTTTCCTTATTCAAAGGAATTCAATTACCCCACGTCACCAAGTGTCTATTAGCCGTGAAAAACTAATTTGTTCTTCTGAATAGCTTCATTGCTATCAAGCCAGATGGTGTCCAGGTATGCGAATGATGTATTACGATGAAGAAAGATTAAAATACTGATTGATGTCGAATTCAGCGTGGACTCGTTGGCCCAATCATCAGCCGATTTGAGGCTCGTGGGTATGTTTACATTCTCCGAAGAACCTCATGAGCTTTGTTGACATGGAGAATAGTTACAAGCTTGCTGCCATCAAGCTTTGCACCCCAGGAAAGGAGCACCTCGAGAACCACTGTGAGTACATGAGGTTATTTATAAAATGAAACATTGAGACTGATCCAAACCGCAGACTCTGATCTCTCTGAGAAGCCATTCTTCACTGGTCTCGTCAACTGTACGTATTTGCCAATCCTATCACATTCAAGGCACAGACCTAATAATATATAGACATGAACTCTGGCCCAATCTGCGCCATGGTCTGGGAAGGACGTGATGCTGTCAAGACCGGCCGTAGTAAGTAACCCATTGATTCTCATCACCCCCACCAAACCTACCCCTCCCCCCACTTTTTCATAATTTCTAACTTTCTCCTTTCCAGCCCTCCTCGGTGCCACCAACCCATTGGCCTCCGCCCCAGGTACCATCCGTGGTGACTTCGCCATCGATGTCGGACGCAACGTCTGCCACGGTTCCGACTCCGTCGAGAACGCCAAGAAGGAGATTGCTCTCTGGTTCAAGGAGGGTGAGGTTATCTCATGGAAATCCGCTCAACACGACTGGGTCTACGAGAAGTAGATTAGATTCGATGTTATGTCATTTGCACACGTATGATGACTATACCCAAATCCATAGCTGATTGAAGACACTGGACACGGTGGATAGACACATACATGGTTAAAAGTCAATCAGATCATCATTCGATGTGTCTGTATTTGGAATTGATATTTGGTGAACTAGTGCAACATTCGTCTTGTTCTACATTGAAGTTGCTTTTCGGTCAATTTCGTCCCAGCTTCTATCATCTAACCATAGCCGAACATGAACAGGTATTGCTCCTTCTAATCATAAACTATCGCTTACACCCCTTTCACACCTTACTTCACTCCCCCTCCCCTCCCTAATCTCCCAATCCTCCCCATAATCCCCGCAAACCACGGCGTGCCCCAAACACAAACAAGTATCCTAATCGGCAATAATATCTTCGTAACGACATACGCCGTCGCAACTTCCAGAACTATTCTCTTCCCACTAGTATTGTTTTCCCCTGCTTTCATAATCGTTTGTCCATCATTTCCCAATGCATCTGCACTACCAGTAGCACCCTCATAACCAAACCACCCCTTCTTCCCAAACCATCTCTCAAACCTCTCCCTCGTAGCCTCCAACTTCCCCTCTGGTATCAAATCAGAAGGTAAGCATCCCGTATAATGAAAGCCTCCCGCCAGCAAAATTAGCGGCACCAGAGCAGTAATCTCGTGAAGAACCAGGAAAGATATTATATATGTTTTTGGCGCCGTAAGGAGGGGTGCAGTGTATGGGTGGAGAAATTTCGGAATTCGGGATTGCAGGGTTAGGAGGCGTGCTTGGAGACGAGAGCGAGAGGATGAGAAGGAGGTGGCGGAGATGGGCGTGTGAGAGGGTTTTGGGGGGTGAGAAGTGAGGGGGCAAGATGAGGAGAAGAATCGCTGCGGAATGAGAGGTTTGAGGGTTCGGGACCGGCTCGATTGGGGAGCTGGTATTGAGGTGAAGAAATTGGTGGGTTGGGATTTGAATTTGGATCTGCTGAGGCGGCAGATGTGAGGGGTGGACATTACATCGTTTGTGTTGGGTTGTGAGTGGGTGAAGCTTGGTTTTGTGATTTTGGAGCTCTACCTACCGAGTACTTGGAAGCTATGAGGGTTGGATTGGGGGCTAGACTTAAGCTTATCCTTAGCGCGGACTCGATTGGCTCGTGCGTCATAGTTTGATGAACATCACTTTTTGTTCTGAAGTTGGGAGCTATGAATATATTAATGTTATATGAGGAACTGATTTGCTTCTTGAAGATACTTTTTGATGTTACTAGTATGAATCCATCGTGGGGAATTCCACAAAGATGTTAAATCGAGCAGATTTTTATATTTTGTGGAGAATCGCTATACTGTACCTTCCAATGCATAACGTTACAGTATCTCCATGTTCAAGCGTATGGAGACTGTTATAGATCTATGATCATGTTCAAGATGCGGTGTCACTCAGTTCGTGGGTAAATTCACTGCTGGAGAACAACAATCTGCATGCCTAGTGGAAATTGTGCGCAAGTGTGTCAAATGGGGTCGGACTAATGGGTCACTATGTTACTGTGCAAGGCGTGCCTTTTGATGTTGTGTGTTGCTGGTTGATACTTCTTGATGGTGTCGTTCGTGGTATTCAAATGGCTTGCAATGATTTAGTGCAGCTTTGAGTCTTGACAAGTAATTGTTTGGAGCTTGGGAGACTTGCGTTCAAGGATAAGACGTTGAGTTGACTTTCAGTCAACTGATCTGCTAGTTGCAATTGACGTGCATATACAGTTAGGCTGTTTATTAGAACATATTATGGAGGAAGAGGATCTCCTGAAAGATCAGTTTAGGATATGGATATGGATCTCTTCCTGATACATGAATATTTCATTCACTTTAGCCCATTTTCGGGCATAGTTACCTCAATGTGTTGTAGGCGGGACGGTGTACCCCTGGAAATAAAAATCTGAAGGCAAGTTCTCCAGCAAAAACAAAATAAGCAGTCAAAACACGTTTTATATTAGAAGATGTTCCGAGGATATTCACCTACTTTCTATCTCTCCATGGTTCCAAATTGTTCTGTTGGGGCGATAGATTGACTTTCAGATCGTAATTCACCATGTTGAGGTGCAGCTTCGCTTTATAAAAAGAATGTAGGGTTTATAACTTCACTTGACTTGTTGGCATGTAACAACTTTTATCGGCTTTCAATTCATATGCAAATTGCATATCTCATCATATATACTTCACGGGTACTACCTTTCAATTTCTTATTTGCCACACGAAGATATCACCATTTTCGGGGTTCTCAGTTGGCGACATTATAGCCGGCATTCAACTTGTTTACCATGTTGTAGAATCATTCGATTTCACTGTCGGCTCGAGTGCTCGCTACCAGAACCTGCACCCAAACACAATATTCCGAAGAAAAATTTCTGGTCGCCAGAAGTTGAAATTCGGTCTGAATTCAAACTCTACAGAGTCACAACAATACACACAATACATACTGCTCTACACAAGTCAAAATGGCGTCTCACACGGTACTGCCCGAGGTTATCGATCTGGAAAATACAGATTTCATCAATCTGCGGGATCCAGAAATATTCTCTAATTTAAGAAATCGCTTGAAGAGAAGGTAGTGTATCTTTACTAATGAGGTATTACCAATCCTTAAATTGGGAAACAAAGCGAATAATAACAATATTAGCTTAGTAATAAAAGTCTTTAAAACTAAATTCGCTGAGTATGAATATACTGAAAGAATTCAGCGAAAGGTTATGATTGGCTTGGTAGAGGCAATTGACAGATATGTCAATTTCTTTGCTACGGGGGACGAACGAATGGTTGCTAGGAAACTGAGTACTAGAGTCGTAGAAATCCTTATATTCTCTATCAACAATGGATCCAATCCATCGTTGAGTTCATTGTATATATTATTGGCAATAAGAAACGCAGTTTCTCTGAAGATATATACTATCATCAAAACCTATGCAGGAATCCTTAAGACCCTCAAAACAAGTCAAAACGGAGTGGGTCGAGAGGATTTATCTATACTTCAAAAGACCTTATCAAAGACTCTATATAACAATACACATACCAAACAATAGATAACACAAACCACCCAGAACACAGACTATAGACTACTAATAACTATCAGTCCTGTAGTCTGGATTAGCAAATCAGTCCTATATGTGCTAAGGAGTACTCTTATTGAAGCAATCACGGGTCTGATATTTGCAGATGTCTTTATTATATCTGTTACCAAGATAGGATAGATTATTACACTAAAGAACCTGGTAATCCAAGAATTATTCTTCACACAGAAAAACAAGGAAATCATCCTCAGAATCAGCCAAAATATACAAATACACTAATCGATAATATAATTCAATTATGTAATCCCTAGGGTCCCAGTATCGATCCGTATAATAACAGGATTCCCAGCCAATACAGCGAGCCATGTGGAAGCAGAGGTTCAGGCACAGACAGGCCAAACCCCAGTCAACTGTAAACCCTCACATCACGGGGCCAACCCCCACAATAGCACAATCACATAGATAATATCCTTCCTAGAACCAATCCGCAGTTTCAGACTCTTTAATACTAACAAACTAACACAAGAAATCAAGGCAAAACCTACAATAACTTGATATGACACCAGCTACCAAAACTAATACAACCCAGCAAGATGCACCAGACTCACCTGCTATACAAACTGTAGGGTTCGAAAAGACACACACAAAAGCCCACAAGAACCCAACTGTACAGCAAAAGCACAATATACTAACTACTTCGGACCCTTTGCCGCAGGACACCAAAACTGCCCAGCAACGCCCAAAGTAGTGGATGATAAAGTCACAGCACCTATCAAACCACAACTTAAAGCCCTACAAAAACCGGCTTTGGCAATGGAAGTGGTAATGCTCGCTAACCAGAAGTCTAAGGATGATTCTAAGGAAGGGTCTATCCCAGGTATAGCTATATCTACACCCATACCCATTCTAATAATAAAACATTAGAAAAAACAGATTACTATCTACAAAATAAGCAGGGTTAGTCTAATTACAGTATAGCTCAAAAAAGGTATAACAACAACAAGCCAATCAAAACAGAAACCTTTGGTAAACACAAATCTCAACAAGAAAATCCTAGTCAATAACTAACAGGATATTGAAATAAAAGAAAACCCCCAATCCAATGTATATGAGTAAACACCGGATATGTTAAGATAATATGTATAGTTATTAACAATCCAGAATACAGGATCTAACGGTCTGCTGGACAAATGTGGGCAAGATATTAGAGATTTATGATATTATATTACAAATAGTATTTGAAAACAAATTAGATGTTTTATACATATAAAAACCCTCTACATTCCTATTCACAAAAACCAAAATATACCCAAAATAAACCTTATATGTACCAATGAACTCATGGACAGGAATATCCTTCGAACAAAGAGAAACAAAATAACCCTAAATACTGATATATATCAGAAAAGGAGTGAAACTGCAAATCTAATAAAAGCAACTAATTAAAAGTTGCAATATACTCTGGATAGATATAAATGGGTATCCCATATTGAATATATATTAACAATTACAAACAGAATAGACATTATCGTATATCACCGAACTATAACCATCCCTAGGGTACCTCATTGGAGACAACTTCAATACTATATATGAAATATGGTAATCTGGATCGGAAAACCTTTATGAAAAAAACAAACTATCAGCCTGGGTAAACCTGACTGAATTAGAATATATTAGAAAAAGAGAAGCACCTATCTATATAAAAGGTAATATACTTGACCTTTCATTTTTTAATATACTCTTTGCAGAAACCAGGGTCTGGCACAACCTATATAATGATTCGGATCACTAAATTCTAATAATAACAATACCCGGTAGAGAAACTAAGTCTCTAGATTAGCACAATATCTGTGTCCCAGAAACAGAACTATTACGATTAGCAGGGCTAGTAGTGAATGGAATGGTATATCTATCTACAAATAATATTTTCAATATTTCAGAAAGAATAAATAACTTTGCTAATCAATTTATATAAATCATTAAGCAAGCAATAACTATAATGGAAACTATAGATAAAAGGAAAAACAAGGCAACACCCTAATGGATGACGAAATACAAAAGGACTTATACCAAATATCTGAGCAGATAAGCTATATCAGGGAACTCTTTTATTATAACAATAAAGGAATTTAAAATAATAATCCAAGTAACTAAACACAACTACTAGAGATATATTATAAATAACATCTCTAGCAATAAAGATCTATATAAAATAGTCGGTTGGTATAAGCTAGCCCCAAATCTCAAAAGCCCCCTTGTGACCAAAAGGGTATAAACAGGACTCCGATTGTGTACTTAGAATCTACAAGTGAAGAGCTATGTAGGGTGCTAAAAGGAGGACTATATATACAGGTATTGGGAGCCATAAGGGCTAGGCCAAAAAGGGTGAAAGGGTCCTAGGCGTAAGATGCCTAGGTCTAGAGCTATAGAGCTAGGGCTCTAAGCTGTGAAAGGAAGGTCAAAAAGAGCCGTCATATCATACTATGTATGTAGTATGAGCCAGTGGGCGGAAGAGAGCCGTCTGTTCCGTCACACCCCTAATCATCTCAAACAGAATGATAATAAAAGATGTAATAGAAAAAGCCGAAATGCTCAGGACAGAGATTCTGGATCACTTTAATATAAAAAATAATCTAGAATATAATCTATTAAGAGATTAATAAAAAGAAAACAGACATTTATCCTGAAACTTTTGATTTATATTAAAAGAAATCGAAACAAATGTTATTGGAGTATTTAGTATATCCCCAGGAATTAACCAAGTTATGGTCAGAATCCTCAAGGTCTGCTAGGATTATTTCAAGGATTTATTAAGATGGCTTTACCAGAAATGCCTTGAATATAGTTATTTTCCGAAAACCTGGAAATTAGCTAAAATGATTATATTATCCAAAATCAGGAAAAAGAATATAATATCTGTAAGGTCATAGAAATCCATTGTTTTGCTCTTTT